TTTATTTTTAAACTAAATGCACTTTTTTGTGCCATGACTAAAGGAAATGTCTTAGACTTATTGGTTGCTATGACCGCCATTTTGATTATTTCCTAAATTTTACCATTTACCGTGAAGTGGAAAATTGTTTAATGCATGATTTACATGCCACATTATTGAACAACAACCTTCTACCCACGGGATTCCCTAAGGGACTCCACTAGTTCTCTATATGTAACTTTGTTTGTTTATCTATTTGTTTGAAAGAAGTAAATTCGTGTTTATCAAATCTTAGTCAAAGGTTTTTATTTATCATATTTGCTCTCAGCTCGTCAAATAGCCTATCACTTTTTACGTAATCCCATAGCATATGCACTATTGTTTCAGGGTGAATTTTACAGAAAGTGTAAAGGTTATTGTGCGATTTGCCAACTTTGAATTATAAAGTGTTTGTAGTGAAGATTAAGGGATCGCACAACGTTACACGATGTGCGGTATGCGCACGATGTGTGCACGGTTTGTGAACGATGTGCGAACGATAAACAGTTGGACGATCATTGCTTGCGCACATTTGTGTGCACGATGAACGTTGTGCGATAACAATCGTGGTTGGTCTAATTTGAGGAATGGCTTAACAATACGTACGGTATCGTCTTTAAACATATAAACTTGATTGTTACTTATGTTTTTATTTATATGTATTTATGTCTATACTTTCTTAAAATTATGTTTAAGTCAAGATTATGTTTTCGGTATTTTTTTAAACGACCTTAATCGACACATGTGAAATTACAACACAGTCCCGTATACAGGTAAACATAGCCACTTTGTACATAATAGTAATAATAATAATAACTGGAGGTTCTTATATACCGCTTTATCACAACCTAGTTCGTAGGTCGTCTCAAAGCGGTTCACAAATTATTATCCGTGGTTATAGGACCTTTGCAACTAGCCAGTACATTTCTCAACTCCTTGGGGAGCATACAGCCGGAGCTAGCATTCAACAATTCTAGCACTGCCAAACCACGTACTCATTTACAGCTGAGTAGACTGAAACAAGCGGAGTAAAGTTACCTGCTCAAGGATACAACACGTTGCCGTGCCGTGGCGCGAACCCGCAAACCTTCGGTCACAAGGCCGGCTTCCTACCACTGGACTACCGTGCCTCCTGTACATGTACCTAGACCGTAGTTTTCCCCCGCCCGGGCCGGTACGTATTTCGTCGGGTAGGGCCAGAGGTGTGAAAACCAGGTGAACTCCGGAGCTATAGGCAGACCGAATGCAAATAACAAAATACTAAACGTCCAGTTGTGTTTTCATTACGGTCATACGGTATCGCATATCAGCTCTATGTGTCAGGTACAGGCCAGGTAAAACTCCTCTCACTCATCAAATTGTTATTTACCTGTTCTGTTACCTTGGAGCCAAACCCATTCAACGGTCACTGTAATGCTGTGTTACACGCATTGTAAAACTGTACATAATCTTCATAACTATGATGAGAAATTACAGTAATACATACAGTTTTCATTATTGCATACGAGCTTTCCGTATTTTTTTCATTCCGTAATATTGATCTACAAATTGTACCCAATCGCACAATTTTGCGGAGAGAAGCGCACAAAAGGACGAACGATTGTTAAATCGCATAGTTGTGCGCACCATGTGTGGACGATGTGCGGACGGTGTGCTCACACTATTTTTGGTGCGTTGGGCGGTCACACAACTGTAAAAAGTGTTTGTAGTGAGGAATCTGCGGATTATTCTGTACTGTAGCCACGAAATATATATCATCATTTAAGTTCCATTTTCTTTGAGCAGTAGGTTTATCATTACTTTTAATTAATACCGAATATTTGTCTTGTGCTCTTGTACTATTTTTAAGTATCACCTAACGATTGATAGAAATATTTTTTTTCTTATAAAATGATTATTTAGGCTTTGGTATATCAAAAAAATGGTATCAATGTTATGTTGTTGTATTTTAAAATTCTCCGAACTGGTACAGTGATCCATCATGTTTAATGATGTTGTATACAAATTGAACTACCTTTTTAAACCATGAATTTTCGAAAGTAAACCTTTTATCAATTTTCATAATTGATATTGCTAGAGTTAATAGTATTGTACCATGCTTTTAAAACATCTTTCCAAAAGAGGTTACTACAATGTTTTGATTTTTAATTTTTTTTGGAAGTCCATAGTTATTCAAAATCAGTGAGCAGTATAAGTCAAGGTAAATAAAAGTTTTCTGTATATTGTATAACACCATATACTAAACGAGTACCTGCAGGTACCTGCTGCCTCCATTGCATGATCGTTAGAGGCGACTAAATTTGGGATATTTTCTTTTTCTCTTCTTTCCAAACAACTTTCTTCTTCCTAATGTCTCCCCTGACAATGCCTCACTTTTGGCCTTTAGTTGAGCGTTCGCCCCTGTGAGGAAGACATTGTATTCTGTCCCCCGGCTGAGACATAACAGAGTCTGTAAAAATGGTAATTTCTACTCCTGCTTATCACTCAGTAATTTAGGAGTGGGACGACTGGTTCGCCCGTTGTCCGAGAGGGTTGTCCAGCTGGATGTCTTCGGCAGTATGTTTCAGTGAGGTAGCACTATAAAGTCGGCATCAGTTCCGCGCTATCACAAGGAGACAAACACGAACATATCGCAGCCTCCCAAAACACACACGCATACACTACACGCATGCATCTTGCACACAGGGGAGGCCGTTCTTAAATGACCATAGCAGTTGATAGGACGTTAAACAATACTTAACCAAACCAACCTATGTATCTACCAGGAATAAAGTCAGTTTGGTTATTACTACGTATCAATTTGTTTATTATTGTTTTTAATCGTGCTGCTTTAGCATCAGATACAATTTCATCAATATTATTTAGAAGGTTTATTGGTGTCCAATTTGTTAATTTGTTGCGAGGTTTATCTCCTTTTGGAATACAAGTAAAAACTCATTCTTTCGGTGTTTCTGATAGATCAGACACAGTACAACTATATTGATCTAAGAACAAAATGCATTGTTTCCAGCTTTCAACAGTAAAACCATCTAAAGCAGGACTTTTACCTTTTTTAAAGTGTTTAAGTTGATATCAACATCTGAAGCACCCCTGCAGGTGGGAGATCGGGAAAAGAATGGGACCTGTTGTTACCCGCTGCATTTATCGTCGGAGGCGACTAATGTGGGAACCCCCTGCAGAATTGGTGATTTGGTTTGGTGTACTTTATATGGAGATACAAAAGCGACCAAACAAAATCTGCTGCCCCCATTGCAATACTTGGGATCTTTATCTTTCTTTCTACTTCTAACTTCCTTTTATTTTCTAGCGCCTTGCATTGCAACACCTTACTTATGGCCTTAATATTGAGCGTTTGCCCAGGTGAGGAAGGCAATGGGTTCTATCTCCAGGCCGGGGCATACAAAGTCCTTGAAAATGGAGGTTGTTATTCCCTGCTTAACGTTCAGCATTTAGGGGAATGGCATGTGACCGGGAGTAATGCTGTGCTTGGTGCCTTCGGCGTGGTATTTCAGTGAGATCGCAATACAAAGTAGGCATCATATCCGCGCCATCACAAGGAGGCAAGCACACAAACATACCCTGTCTCCTGCATTTACACACGCTAGCATGCATACACTACACACATGGAGGCACGTCCTTAAATGACCGTAGCTGTTTACAGAACGTTAAACAAAATTAAACCAAACCAATAAACATCCTGAAGAAACTGGTTAGTCTTGTATATTAGTAAAATTCCGCGATTCTAACCCACAGACATATTTTGTTGGTTTTAACCTTCACTTATACACATGGCCCTTGCCTGTATCATATAACCTGCTATGCTTTTTGCTTTTAGTTTTCTTCTTATTCTTGTCATCTGTATCACTTAAGTTTTAGGTTACTTTGCACAGTCATACTACATCATATATACTTATGCATGATAAAAGGAACTGTTATTTGATTTTTCCCTGGATTTATGGCCCTTAGAAACTTTAATTTCTGTTCTAGAAACCCTGTATGAGGACACGGGGGTATATATGTGTGAGCTCGCTAAGTGTTGCTAGTGATATCGGAATATAGAATGGAAATATAGATTGCATAAAAATGTTGCTTATTTAAAAATGCACTTCATTATTGTATCACCTTTTAACAATTAGCAATGTATGTGCTGTAATCGCACAACCTGTGAAGGTACTACCATTATACCATTATTCGGTGTACTTTCCAGAAGCAAGATAACGGTGCATTTGATCACATGAAGTTATGTTTTAACTGTTGCAGATTTGTGTTAATTTTAGCATAATAATAGTCGCCATCATGCTTTGACTATGACCTTGCATTTTGTATAAGAGACACCGGGGACCAGTATATCGTCTTACATATAACGATAAACGTCATTATGAGGGACACACCTGATGCAGAAACTCTTTTCCTTTCGAAGCACCTGTTATCTCCCAATGCATTTTAGTTGTTTAGCTGTTAATAGGACGTCAAACAATACTAAACCAAACCAAACCAATCGTGGTGTTTTCTGTTGTGTCTATGTGCTATCTCAGTCCCTGTTGCCGTATTCTATCTTTGAGTTATGATTTTGTCTCTGAAAGCGGATTCAAGAGATTAAGCTAATTGATTTCCAAAGATCAAAAACCACTATTGTAATGCATCCATGACACTTAAGGCGTCATGTTCACTTACGGTCTAACCATGGAATATGTCCAGGCAAAAACGATTTATTGAAAAAATTATCAATGTTTATTTCGATTTTGGATGCATTAATCAGTTTTTCATCAGTTTGTGACTTATCGAACTCAGTGGCACATTTGTTCTCTTCTGTTTATAAAACAGCTTTGTTGAGTCCCTTTACCCAGACAGACAACTTTGGATTTATGTCATCTTCTAGTGACGAAGGAAACTTGGTCTATGATTTCAACTGATATCAGTTTCCTTTCATGTGATGTAGATGGATGCATTTCTTTCTTTTGATTGAAAACAAAAATGGCTGGTTAATTGCAATCGGTATTTATTACAGATATGATACTTCGACAAGATGGATTGATTTAAAATATCTCAATATTGACTGCTAGGTTTGTTATCAACTCCATGATTTTCACCGGTATGGCCTCCGCCGTAACCACCGCCGGTACTTCAATAGCTACCACCGGTATGACTTCCACCGGCAGGCCCATAATTGCCACCGGCATTACCCCCACCGTAACTGCCACCGGTATTACTTCCGCCGGTGCTTCCATAACTGCCACCGGTATGACTTCCGCCGGTACTTCCATAACTGCCACCGGTATGACTTCCGCCGGTACTTCCATAACTGCCACCGGTACTTCCATAACCGCCACCGGTATTACCTCCACCGTAATTGCCACCGGTATGGCTTCCGCCAGTACTTCCATAACTGCCCCCGGTATTACCTCCACCGTAACTGCCACCGGTATGTCCCCCATTTGTGCATATACATCCTCCGTGGTAGGGATCACCATGGTACTTGTCGTCACACTCACATTTGTTAGTCTTGTAGTTACAGTGAGAGTGTGGGTAGGCCCCGCAATGCCCGCCACATGGAACTGGTAAGAAGAAGAGTAGAAAATTGAAACAGATTAATCAAGTGTACGCAATATCGCCGAGCTCTGCGAGTCATCAACGTATCTAGAAATCTTACTTAAATCAAATTTGTACCTGAGTGATACACAATATTAAGACACGACAACATTGCACCGTGGTCACGTTCAGCCGATTGTCTATCTTCAGAAAGTCGAATTTCTGACCGGCTCGACGCGTCTTTCGCTCAATTTGTATAAATGCTACCTTAATTAGTCAGATTTATCGTGTTAACTTGTCCAGTAGTTTCGTTTTTGCAATGATTTACCATGGAAAGTGTTTATGTACAGATTCCAGCGATGCAATATACTCGATCACAATTATCAATGCCGTTCGGAATTCGGATATATTCATCAAAGTAATTATAAAAAGAAATTAGCAACCCTTTAAAAAATACAACTTAAGGGTAATACAGAAAGGTTGTATTTAACAATTTCAATGTATGAAAAGAATACAACGTAAATTCACATCACCTGGAATATTTATCTAAACATATGTATATGCACATGATTCTAACAGTTTGATGCTAATCTGAAAAAAACATGTTATCGTGTAGCCCCCATGGCATCTCGTTAATATTACCACTCGCCCTAGCGACACTGATGACCGACTCTACCTCCTCTCGCTCAAACCCGACATCCTCTTCCTCCTAACTATAAGAAACATTTAGTACATGCTTCACAACCTAAATGTCGCACCACCCTTGTAGGTGGGGGATCGATAAAAAATATACCTGCTGTTACCTATTGCATTTATCGAAAGAAGCGACTAATGTTGGAACCTCCTGTAGAATTGGGTATTGGCTTTTATGCCCTCTATTTTGAGACAAGAAAGCAACTAAAATAAATCTACAATCAATGCAAACTTTCGGATATTTATATTTCTCTCTATTTCTTACTACCTTATATAAGTTCCCAAGCGTCATGCTTGACATCATCTTACGTTTGGCTTTAATGATGAATGTTCGTCCAAGTGAAGAGACAATGGGTTCTGCCGGGACATAACAAAGTCCTTAAAAATGCTAATTGTTATTCCCTTCTTAACGTTAAGCATTAATAGTTAAAGTACATCAGTTGTTAGTATGATGTGACCGGTGCCTTCGGCATGTAATTTCAGTGAGATAGCACTTAGTATCACGTCGGCATCAGATCCGCGCTATCACAAGGAGGCAAATACACCAACATACGCTACCTCCGGAACACATGCACACATACATAATACATGTAGAGACACGTCCTTATATGATCTTAGCTGTTGTTAGGAAGTCAAACTATATAAACCAAACTAAACCAATGTTCATTACATCACGTTACAGTCTATATTGACGAAATCCGGCATGGTGACCTCGAACTCAACACCTTCCAGTTATATTGTCATCTTAAACATAATTCACTTTATTCAGTTATTTATTTATAAAACGTACAAAGTATATACATTTATGTTGTTTAGGAAACCCAACTGTGTGGAGTAGTCATACAAAGCATATAACAACAAGCAGCTGACAGTTGCCCCTCAGGCATCTCTCGTTGACCAAGGTCAAGATCACTGGTGCGTAACATCTTATTTCGAAAATTTGAGTTCGTGCTACCGTTTTGAATATAACAGTATATTTCACCTGAGAGGACCGCTGATTGGCTTCCGTATAGACAATAATTCGCTATGTGAAATTTGCAATACGATCACATAATTACATAAGAGGGAGATAAGCTTGGGAATCAGATTCAGTTCGCAATACCCGACAAAAAATCGCAATAAGCGTGTTCGTACTTAACGTGTTTACTTTATCAATATTTAAATGAAGGTATATAATTAGTTAACATAACGTTACCACTGATGCAGTGTTGTGGTGTATCTGTTTTGAATCGGGTTTGATAAACTATAGTTACTATAAACCATGCCATATATTGACCTTTACAAGTCAAATAGTGTTATTTCTACTCAAATAAGAATGATGTCTGTTATTATAATTAATACTTACGGTCACATTTCACAGTTCCATCTCCCACAAGTCCTTTGTTACAAATACATTTGTCGCTTGCTTCGTCACAGTGAGCATTGAACACACATTTGCCTCCACAACGTTCTGTAAACCATGGAAATTATTAGCACAAATCCATGACGCGACATTTCCTTCAAATACAACACTTTCAATTAAATGTCTGTTTGAAAGCAAACACACGTGTTCATCAAAAGATAGATACTACTTCAAACTGTAGTATTCAACTTACTGTCGTCATTCTCAATAGTGACCGTCGCTTTTCGCAGAACTCCAAGCACGCCTCCCGCAGTAACATGAGTTAACGTCACAGCGAACTGTTCATCAGCCTCGAATTTCTGCAGATAAGATGAGTAACCAAATAGGATTTTAACGGTTTATTTCAACAAATCTTATTTACTAATAATTTTTATGTTGGATGGGAGACCAGAACCAAATCATTTTTTTTTTTAATATTTCGGTTAACACTTCCCAATCACTGAAATTCTACTAAATAAGAATTGACTCATAAGAAGGATTTTGCAAAGTCGTTACTCTTACATATTCAAATATTATATATCGCCGGTACGAGCTACTTTAGATTTGTTAATTGTCGTCAACACTTATCATCCCATTTGTTTATCAAAACATATTCGTGAGAATTTTATTTCTCATACCAAATACAAGGAGACTTAAGATTTATAAACAATCGAACTCGCAGATATTTAAATACGTGATTTACAAATGTTATTTTCGCCTCATCATTACATGCAGTGGAACGAGGGTACCGACATAAAGTTTGTCATACATTTGTAGCGCTCATTGGTGACGATATGTTGCCTTAGTTTCACCATTTCAACAAATTTGAAAGGAAGGAAAGACTTGGACAATAGAATAAACCATTGCTATGAGATACAGACAGAACAATCTGAGAAGCCATCGGGATAATCAAAATGTTTCCCTCGGATTGGAATTTATCTTTCTACTTTTAATTAAACATTAACTGAATGATCAGTATCTTTACCTCGTCGTTAAGTATATGAATGGTAATAGTCTTGAATACATCGCCATCGTTGAAGTATAATATACCCCCTGAGTTGGCGTAGTCTTGGCCGTGGATGGCAGTCAGATCCGTTGCAGTCCACGTTACCTTTACACTACCAGAACTAGAGCCGGTCCGTTTAACTTGGATTACCACTTGAGTAATACTTTCCGACACGGCGTAGCTGGACTGGACAAGTACAAATACACTTGCTCCTGTAAAATATCAACCAAAATGAAACCATATATATTTTTTTTGTGGCCTGAATGTGTCCGAGGTAGTTCGTGTTGGCGTGAATAAGACATTCTTGCTGTCATAATGGAATCGCGAGTATATTTAGTAAATAGCCATGTGTACCGTACAAGTTCATGCAGTTTAATCCAATCCAATTAAAACGTATCGAATATCACATGCTGAGTTAATAAAACATGCAGCTTAGTTAAACAACTAACCATGACATTCTTCTTTGGGGTTACCGAAGTATCCTGGAAGGCACACACACTGCTGGGTAACAAGGTCGCATTTGGAGTACTTCTTACACAGATCATGGCAAGGTACTGGACAAATAAGCATTGAAGGGTAAGATAACGATGAGGCAACACGTGTTTTTAATTTGTTTGTATTCAGATATGATGTAAAATAGTACACAAATATCACAGAGTCAAGTTGTTTAACACACAATTACAAAGAACATAGAAAGATAATAAGGTTAAAAAATACCCTGAAGAATCCCTGTCCGGTTGTAGGCAAAACATTACAAAATTTCACTCTATTTACTCGTTCATTAATTATTAATTATTGTCCCCAAATTTGCATTTCGGACATGCACGACTAAGCAATATATTTACATAATCATCATAGATCCATGATTTGAATCTGGGAGTGAGCGCTTTGTCTGCTTTACTTTCAGATTATTGTTGCAATCTTTTGTTGTTATTTTATACTTTTAGAAATGATTGATTAAAGCTATCAACATGACAGTAAAACAGTTTTAAATATTTAGTTACAGATTAATAAATTCATATTCATTAATTATGTACAATAATAGTTTAGTTGCTCATTCCAGACATTTTGAATGTGTATTTTTAACGTCATGTTTTGAGCAATCTCAGTAAATAATACGGACACCGTTGTTTGGTCAAGTTTGTATAGTTAGTGTCAGTGTCAATGCATGTAGTAAATGATACTCACAATGGCATTTCGAGTAAGGATTTCCGTAATATCCCGTCTTGCAATGGCATTTGTTATCTTTTCCACAATAAGCGTAATCTGTGCAGGCATTATTGCATGGTACTGTAAACCAAAAACGTCAGAATTCAATATATTTCTGATACATATGCATGTTTATATATATAAAAAAAATAAACGTTTGCACTGTATAGATCTTCATGCGCATAGTAACAGTTGAGTAATGAGTCCATTGTCAATATACATATATATATCGTTAATACACTGGTGATTTCAGAATTTAAGATAATTTGTCTAGTTTATTCTACCATTTGGCAGTTCCCACAGTATACAAACTAAAGCTGAGGTTTCCTATAAAACAAGAAATTATACGCGATTTAAAAAATATTAACAATATGAAGAAATGGAAAACATAATTGAAATTAAGTTTGTTGATGTGGAAAGCGAAAGAAAGATTTTTTTAAAACGATCGTTTGAGCATTTAAAACATGTACCTTTTTATTTTCCCCCAAAAATGAAAATTACCTTTAACGATTCTTTCAATTAGTTGGATTTCGAATAACTAGCCCCTTAATAACAGGTTGTTCAAAATTATACTCACTGTAACATTTTTGTGTTGGAGTTCCGATGTAACCGGAGTTGCAATGACATTGGTTGTCCTTGTGACTACAGTAAGCATTGGCGCAGCATTTTCCACCACATGGAACTGTGAATTGTAACAAAATATATAATTCTTGGTAAAACAGATGATAAAGAGTGATTAACAAGTATAACTGAATCGAATAACGGATTCGAATTTATATTTGGAAAAAAAAGAAATACTTACTGACACATGATCCATGGAAAAGAATGTATCCTTTATTGCAAATACATTTTTGGGAGATTTTGTCGCAGTAAGAATTCACGGGACATGGTCCTCCACATGCCGCTGAAAATATCAAACAATAACAGCTCGTTCATTATAGCAAGAACAAGGGATGTATAAATAGTGTGAGGCTACATATATGTCTTGTATAAGATATATCTATCAGAATTGGATGTTTTTTTGGGGTTATATGGAGATTTTCACAAATGCAATCAAAAGCGCTTGACTTCCTGTCTGACAAATGTAAGTACCCCACAAATATATTTAGATAGAATAACTCCACTAGTAACTTAAATCTAATATTGATATCGCTATAATAATGGATATAAAACATTGAAAGTCACGTATATATGTTTTTGAAGTCACCAATACTCCTTTACCAAGAGTTCACACTTCTTTTTCATATTGTCTAAGGAAGCCTCGTCTTGTTATTTTCTACTTTTGAACGGTTCTTATAATCCTTTTTTTGTAATAGTTATTATTAAATATGAATAACATTCTTACTTTGTAGCAAAAGTATCGGTAGTTGTCTTTGGAGTGTCAAATTGTCATTAATCACTAAATTTTGAAAACTAAACCTCATGACGTAAGTTGTCCATTAGTAAAGAGACTTCTCCAACTATATGGTTTTAGCCTGGCGGTTGTTCCCTGCTATAAAGGATGGAATGGTATCAGACACCAACCATAGGTAATATCACCAGCATCGATAATCTGTTCCCTGTCATGAGGACTTGAGACGGGATTACGGAATGGTAGTTATAAGATACAAGACCGAACCCTTCCTGCTCTTCCCAGACATTAGGGCTGAAATGGGTCACCAAACGGTAGCCATTTGCTATTCATGTATGACTGTAGTCTGCAAACTGTCACCAGTCATTAAGGTATAATATGGGTGTTATCAGATAGCAGCTAAACGTATGTTAGTAAGTAAAAGCATTTCGCAGAAGGAAACTGTATTCTTTCACTATATACATAACAGAATATCAATAGAATTGAGAAACGAGAAAGCAAATTTGTGAACATTTCATCAATGCAGAGATCAAAAGAAACCCTGAAGAGGTACAACGAAGGCATATAAAATGCGCATAAATACTTACCATCATCGTTAATAATGGTGACAGTAGTTATAGTTAATGATCCAAGTCCTCCAGCTGGAACGACACTGAGTAAAGTAACCTGGAATTGTTCGTCTACTTCATAAACCTATTAAAACAAATCAGGAAATAATAATCATTATGACGATCAGTGTGGGAGTCCATGTAATAAAAGATGGTTGTTTTATCCTTAAAAATACTAAAAGAGCAATGGAGACACTAAATTCCTGACTAGTTCTCTCCATGATATTGCTATCATTTGAATCGGATCTCTCTCGAAACACGTAGTCATTCGAAAATTATGTTGCAACGGCATACATCAAACACATCAACTCACTAACACAATGTGTGTGGCAGAAACATGTTTAAACTGTTCAGGCAAATCTGTTTGGTTACCTTATCGGCATAAATTGTAAAGGTGATGGTCTTGGTTATGACGCCATCGGCGAAAAATAGTACTCCCTGGGTGTTAAAATAATCAACGAGACTCGTGGCAGATATATCTGTTGTAGCCCACGTGACAGCAACGCCACCAGAACTAGATCCAATCCTGTTCACTGTCACCGTCACTGACCCTGCGCCTTCGGTTACAGAATAGCTGGACTTGGCAAATACAAATTGACCAGGTTCTGTAGAAGGCAACGGGGAGAACATTGGTTAGTCGTGAATTGATTTTCTATTAATAAGCGTGTGTTTAGTCGTCTACCACTGGCCACATGCTTAGTTCCTTACTAGTTCCCTATATATATTATATTATAGAATGCATTTTATAGATTTTAAAGTAACATATATGTTCAACAAATACGTAAATAAGTTGTAATTTTCGAGCAATGCTATTGGTATATCGCAAACGGAATTATAGAAAGTTTGACCGCTTCAAATTCTCTAACTGAGCCTTTAGTCTTACTCATGCTATGTTCGATATAAATGATAGTTTTAAAATAAGCTTACTTCCGCATCCCATCAGAGGGTCACCGTAGAAGCCAGGTAAGCACTGACAGGTCTGAGTGGGGATATCACAGCGAGTGTTTTCTTTACACAGACCTTTACATGCCTCTATAAAAATATAAATGAAGGGTTTGCGGTTAATGTTAATATATTGAACAAAGGAAGTAGTTACCTGATAGAGATCTTAATTCTTCTACTCGTGTTCAGAGATATATAGAATCAACCAACACATTTTGAATGTAATGTATGTGTGTATGCATTCATACAGATGGATGAATGAGTGGATGGATGGATATGGATGGATGGATGGCTTGATGGATAGTTCCTCCTATTCTTGATCTGCATTGATACAGATTTATTTCTTATGTTCCAAACTATTCATGCAAATATTCAATGTATTGTTTGAGATGTTTGAGATTAATAATACCCAATTCCTTTTAACTTGGAATTTGGTTTAATACAAAAAATGAAATGAAAACATTGCGTTCATAAGGCAATGAATACAAACCGTGTCATGTGATGTAAGTATGGAACATTTTCAAATTTGTCAAGAAAACGCTTTATACTTTTCATCATATACCAATGAATATATCTTGATCAATCGCGCAAGTAGTTAGGGTTGTTGTGGTGATGTGTCGTTATTGATGATACACAGAATAATAATAATTAAATGACTCTTTCAATTCGATAGACGATAGCTAGCTGATTGTAAAAAAACATATACTGGTATTAACTTAAATTGGCGACGCCATTCATGCACAATATTAATTCAGTTTATATTGGTTTGATATCAAAAGTATTATATTCATATTGCATTCATACTTCATAGTCAGTGGGTAGATGTCATTATCTACCCCCGCCCCTACACACAGAACTTAATTTCTAGGTTTTGCATTTTCAATAAATGAAGTTAATCAAGATTAATGCAAAATGCACGGTTATCAAGTCGTAATAAAGAAAAAAGACCGTAATGGCGACTAAAGGAGATAGTTCTGGCGTAATGGTGCCATTATAAATACCAAAATATAGGGACATTTACAATTAGGTAAATGTGTATGCCGTATCTCCCAACTGGTATGATATTTCAAATTATGCTGCTAAATTTAATTATTCCACATTATTGCAATACATTTTTTCAAATATTTGCTTTTAAATAAATAATAACATACATCTACACGATGTAAAAATATATGATGATACAATATCCTTGCTTACCTGTACAACCGTCATACGGGTCTCCATAGAAACCCGGCTTGCAGCAGCATCTGTTGTCCTTTCCGCAGTAGGCGTTCAGTTTACAGGCACCTTTGCATGGTTCTGCAGTAATTAAATACGTGTAAAGGTGAAGTCTGTTAATCGGTTTCTTATGTTTATTTGATAACATGCTCATACTTTACAAGAACTTAACATGACTCTCTAGTTCTTAATTGTCAGATTGAAAACAGTCTGTCACTTTGAAATATTAAGAGAAGCTGATATTTGTTTTTATTTCGTTACAAAAATACAAACAATGGCAACTGACGTAAAATATGTATTTGTTCAAGCATTTAAATATCTATAATATTCATGTTGATACATCCTTCAATGTTACAGATTTGCTTACACATAGAAGACCATAGTAAATTATTAAATCTCTGATTCGTAAAAGGCACCTTACGGGAGAGGGTATCCAACTGCTAGTTTAGTGAACTTTGTAAAGCGAAGAAAGACATTCAAACAACCACTTTAGTACTTACTGTAACAACCAATAGTTCCGATTCCAATAAAACCTGTGTTACATTTGCATTGGTTGTAATGAGCGTCGCAGTAGGCGTTAGCACAGCATCTCCCTCCACACGGCACTGTACGGTATTAAACATGTTTCATTACATCTTTGTTGTGCTATAACCAAATCAATAATGGGCAAATATGTCGGTATGCTATGCCAGACTATAAAATGTTACGCTGCTGCAGAGTTTTACACCATCTTGAGGCAGTAAATCGTCTGAGCTGTTTAAAATGTTATTGTAGAACGGAACAGATACTTTTTGTTTAAATCGTTGTGAGGAATTAAGAATCAAAACATGTTTATCTTTAGTATCCGTACGATTAATGACAACATCATACATAGCTTTACGAAGAAGAGTTCGTTAAGAATGGTGGTAGATGTTTACTGTTTTCAACATTAATACATACAAATACATCCTCCGTAATTGGCATCTAAATGATACCCATGGTCACACACGCATTTCTGGCTCACTACATCGCAGTGGGAATGAGCAGGACACGGTCCACCACATGAAGCTATCAACACAAACGTCATACGGAATTAACACTACACAGTCCAGTATGTACAGAATATTAAACTTTATATTTTTCCAATCTTTATTATGTTAATATAAAAAGGAATTATATTGAATACTATATCATAATTCACAATTAAACCTTTAGCATACTGATTTGATTTTTAAGAATGTTCATTGTTCATATACATTACGTACGGTCGTCATCCTTGATAATGATGGTCGCCACCGTAGATGTTGTTAGTGTACCAATGCTTATCGATGTCAGGGAAACAGTGAAAGATTCCTCCTTTTCGAATATCTGGAAATTTATATTGTTTACTGGGTAATCGAGTTTATGTAACAAGAGTTTCAACGTATACACTACCTATTAATGTCGGTTTTTGGTTAGGTGTAGCGACAATTACTTTTAAACGCAGACATGAAATAAACATGTTAATGGAAAAACGCGTGAACACTAATCACGCAACCGATTTATTGTTTTTTTTAGGAAATTGAAACCTTTACTTGTTTAGAGTAACTGTAAACTCTTCCGAGTCCCCTTTTAACGCTTTAGGTCCACAATGACCTTGGTGTGTCGGCGGGTCGTTAAGAATGAAAAAAACAATACGTATTTTTGATCATTTCTATCAAAATGGAACTATCGTCCTTAATATTATCTTTGGACTCTGTCAGGCGGGACAAAATTTATGTTTTGAAACGAATGCCTCTGACAAAATAATTAAAAAATTACATTGTCACTTATTATGAAGATTGAAATGGTCCTGGAAACTTCACCACTAGCAAACCAGATGGCGCCTGCTGTGTTCACAAAGTCATTTCCATGGACAGCGCTGCCGTCCTTGGTAGCCCAGGTTACCTTCACCGCTCCAAAGCTTGATCCCACCCTATTTACAGTAATAGAGACGATTCCGACGTTTTCCTGGACGGTGTATGTCGTTTGGGCGAATACAAAAGATCCTGGTTCTGTAAGAGCCATTCAAAACTAACTTAAGGATGTATGCTACATTTTCATATTATTGTATCAATCCCATGGCAAAAAAAGCTCCATATCAATCATTTAAACTTTCAGGGGCGACATAAATAGGATTTGGCTAATATATTGATACAGGAGCTGTTTCAGATATGGATATTAAAAAGTTAATGTTATGCAAAGAAGCCTGTCAGTACACTTTTGAAACATAATTTTTCATTTCTTTGTTTCAAAATTTAACAATATACATACTTGTGCATCCTTTCAGTGGATCCCCCCAATAGCCTTGGATACATCGACAGGTGTGAGTCGAGAGATCACATACAGCATTGCCCTTACAGAGGTTGCGGCACGGTACTGTGAAACAGATAACAACATACTGTAGAAGTGGATATTTTGGTGTTGAAATGCTTTCGTTTTTTACGATGATTCAATTAACGAGAAAATATCTACAAGCGAACATATATCTATGGAATATAAATATAAAGGACAAAGATATTTCAGTACAATTACCAAAGGGATTCTAAATGTGATCTCAAAACTAACAAATAAGACGGACTATAAAATAATATTAATATTAATGCTATACTCACAATAGCATCCTTCGTACGGGTTTCCGTAGTACCCTGTCTTACATACACATCTGTTGGATGCACAGTAAGCGTTGGCCTTGCAGGCGCCTTTACATGGCACTGGTGAACAAATTTGTTATATATGTAATATTTGTCATATAGTACGTTTTAAATTGAACATCCGGTTTGCATAATGATAATAGACAAAAGACACTCACGTTGATATATCATGAGATACTTGTTTTCGAAATTAATTTCCCTTCTTGTGAGTGAAAAGATACATCCATTGTTATCGGTTGTTAACTTCAGTATTTTAGCATTACATCTTTTTAAATCAGAAAGAATTTTATTTAAATTTAAATCTAATTTTCGGAGTCATACAAAAATATATGCCCGCATATCCTTTTAAACGGCAAAATTTCATATTATATTGTATATATTTAACAATTATCTTTAATAAATTTTTGAGTATTAACTATACTTACGATTACACGCCACTGTTGGTATTCCTATATAACCGGTGTTACATTTGCATGTGTTGTCATGGTAATCGCAGTGAGCATTGGTGCAACATCTCCCTCCACATGGTACTGTAATACGACACTTAAGATTAAACTCCTTGCTCTCAAAGAGTTTGGGAAGATACTAACTATTCTGCTATCCTGGTTGTTTAGAACAGAAGTTTGTTATCAAACCTCATTACTATAGCCGATTGTATTTTTCCGTCTATGGTGACGTTGTGGTAAACACAAACAACACCCCAATCACCACACGCACTTACTACTTTCTCCATTATTTTGATGCTTTTTGATACTATGGTGTTCGATCTAGGTCTGTACAAGTATTTAAACCAGCAACGAGTTTTGCATTTTAAGCAGAGATTATTACTTTTCGTATGTTCGTATTACATTGTACATACACGTTCTAACTGAGTAATGTATACACCATTCGGTAAGCAATACATAGGACTGGCTAAAATACACTGCCCAATATTTGTTTTCAAGGTTTAACGTTATAAGGATTACATAGAGTAATAGTAAACTGCAACGTAATTTATTTCACAATCTACATACAAAATATAAGTTGTAACAAATGAGTAGATATGAACTTCACACAAACATGTATGTGCTCACAATTTGTGGCGACTTAACAACAATTTTAGTGCTAGTGTTAACGATTGTTTTCTCTAGATATCACGGATACTTACATTGGCAGCCTCCATAATGATCTGATATGTAGCCCTTATTGCAAACACATGTTTGTGTTTTTTCGTCACAGTGGGTATTTGGTGGACAAGGTCCACCGCATGGTTCTGAAAACGTAAATATCCTATATACACCAACTAATTCGAATGGTTAGAAACTTTTTAATGGACAAGGGGGTGAGATAAGAAAATTCCATCCGAGTGGCTGAATTTTCCTATCCTTTATTTTTGGAAATGAAGTAGTATTTTTCTGTAGTTCCAATAACCAGAAAAATCTCAAGAAACCATGCAAATGCGTTTTTACTAGCTACCAATTTGAAAATATCAACATTGTCCCCGAAGTGTTTGATCGTAAACAAATCGTTAAGCGAAATTTATACTCTCTTTGCTTTTAAAGGAAAATATTTCCATCATTTTGACGTACACAGTAAGTCCTTTTATAATATTCTCATATTCCTATAATATGCTGCCACAGTGGCATTAGTATATTTCCCAGTTTCGTTACGTCACGTCATTATTGACCAATCTTGACGTGAAACGGGTGAAATGATGTGCAACTGTTTTTACACCTATTCTTATCATGATCAGTTTTATCATGCAAGCACAGATAAATTATGTCTAATAAAATGTTTTACTTGATGATATCTTATACTGGTATTTTCTTATATTAAAAACGATTTTATATTTATGCCCACGATTATATTGTATAACACAAACCAATAAAATAACGTATTACAAATAAGTATGTCTCCCCTTCACTGAATGTTTGTGTATTGTTATGTACAATATTCAGACATAAAGAAAATAAAGATCCATTCTTTCTTGTAATTATCAAATTTCGATGACCTCAAGCACTTTATTTAATTTTTAATTTTCTCGCACATTTTAATCCTGGTGATGTATCAAAGTAACAAAATGAAACTATAAATGAAAAATAAACTTTTGACACATTTTCACTATAATAATAACTGTAGCGTCGTTATTGTCAGAATTTCACGTTTTGGATTTCTAGGACATAATGTGCTGGATCCATGAATTCATACAATTATCAAGATACATTGGAGTCTGGATTTGTTGCTATGTTATTGAGGTGATATATTTACCGTCATCATCCACAATAGTTACAACTGTCTGGATATGGATTCCCAACACACCACCAACTGACACATGGGTCAAGGAAACAGAGAATGTCTCGTCCGTTTCATAAATCTAGAGAATACCAAATGACAATAAGCTAAAATGGTATGTTTCTTAATATTTTGAATTTTATTTGATCAATTTTATTTTGATGACAAATTTAGTGACAACTATTGAGAGGGAAGATAAAATGGGGCCTGCCCATACAAAACTGTAAACCGAAACGGTGTAACTGAGTGTAAACAGTGCAGATCATAAATATATACATATTAGAAAGGTTTCTAACACTGTATTGAAGGACGAATTTGATTATTATCTCTAAATGTGCGGATTAAGTGATGTGGAGTGTAGTTTTTTTTTAACCATTTCGTTATTTGGCATAACATTAATGCATACTTGTCAATGTCAAATATCAGTATACAATTAATTTCGTTTCTATAGCTCGTTGTTTGGTTAAACTTTATACAGAATAGCTTGCCAGAATTAAAATTGTACGCAATACGAAATTGAATCATCCGTATGAATTACCTTATCATTGACGATGAAGATGCGTATGGTCGTTGACTCCTCACCATCGACAAAGCGGATGACACCTTCTCCACCGCCATAGTCGTTTCCGTGAGTAGCAGTAATGTCGCTGGTTTTCCATGAAGCAAAGATCGTTCCGAAAGTTGATCCAGTTCGCGTCACTGTTATTACTACAAATCCTGCATTTTCATTTACAGAGTAGGTCGCCTGTGCAATACCTATCACTGCTGCCTCTGTTATCGAAGAAAATATAACGTTATTTTTTCTTTACTCAATTATAATACAATATTAGTCTGTAAATATCTCAAGCAAAAAGTAACTGAAACGTATTGTTTTTACCGAAAAAGCATAATTAGTAAATATGTAATATGACAACAAAAACATCGCCATTTTAACGTATTTGATTGTCCTGCAGTCTTTTAGATATTATTCAATATCAAGTTTACTTGTGTTTTAACAATATCATACTGGTTTTGTTTTAATATACTTACTGTCACAATGCTCAAGTGGGTTACCAAAGAAACCACCATTGCAAACACATGTTTGCGTCGAGATATCGCATCTAGCATTGGTTCCACATAGACCACGGCAGGGTGCTATGCAAATTGAAATAAATACAATGTTTAAAAAAATCAATTTAATTATTTAAAACAGCAGCTTGGCTCGAGTGTACTACCTTTCTTCCTGACTGTACACAAACGAATTTATGCACGCGTTCTAGCATTTCTTTATTTCACTTGTTAAAATGACTTCGAATAGATAGTCACAAGAGTTTGGAATTAGCAATCAACTTGCACAGTGGTTTAACAAATAAAATACTTATATGTGGTCATTTATCTATAACAAAAGAAGGAGAAGGAGTCGAAACCTAATAAATTCATTACAGTGAAAAGGCACATAATCCTTACAAGGAAATAACGAACCGTAAAAAAAACAATTGTTTAAGCTCAAAATTGATGACACTTTGGCAAGATATGGTCAAAGGAAAAGATAACATGGAGACAATTGAAAGATGAAAAGGAGAATAAACCAGTTGTTCTGGAAGGGTCAGCGCCATCTGCTTTGTTGACTACGACTCCCTTGTAAATAAAACTTAACTCCAAATAATGTCACGCCCTGTAAGTGAGAACCAGAGCAGCGACAACAATACTACAAACAAGAACAATAAAAACAGCAAACGTCATATAGCACCAGGGAATCAACTTGTTACAGTAAGATCAAGTGGTCAACCAAATTCATCATCAACATACATCTCTCGAAACAAAACAAAAATAAAAGTAAAATGTCTACACCATTAAAACTATACTCACGATAACATCCTTCGTATGGATTTCCATAAAACCCGGTCTTACAGTAACATTTGTTGTCCTTTCCACAAATAGCATTGGCTTTACAGGCACCTTTGCATGGTTCTATAAGTAAATTATGTTGAAACGAATAACAAGTTAACAACTAATATAAACTCGTGAATAAGTATATGTTTAAAATATGGTCCTGACTATCAACGAAAACCCTTTGTGGATTAATTACAGGAGACAGGATGCAAGATGATTGTCAATTGGTTTGAGTAGGACAAGTCGTGTAAGTCATTGGTATAATATCTTCTTGTGTTACTATTGCAAGAGGGTTAGTTTGTTTATGTCAAACGAATCACCAACGGTGTAAGATCATAACAAACTCAACTTACGGTAACAGTTTACTGTGGGAGTTCCATAGTATCCTTCATTACAATAACATCGGTTGTCTTTTGTGTTGCAGTATGCATTGGTGCAGCACCTTCCACCACATGGTACTGAAAGCAATTCAAATTAAAAATGTAACATGCATACGAGCTACAAAACATTGTGATATATTCATTATACATTTGAATATTTTAGAAAAAAAAATAACTACGAAATAAACAACATGAAAATATTGACTATGTAATGTTGTTCGTACAAAAATAATAACGACAACTGTTATGGAAGTTTGTCTCTGGAACAGTTTTTGTCATTATACTAACGACCTTTACATTACGAGGATAGTTCAATATAATTCCACAGCTTGTTAACCAGTTTTCAGTATAATGTGACCGGATGAAATACTTTGGTTGGTGCCATTATCGGGCATTAAGGTAGCACTTTAAAGTCGCCATCGGATCTGCACTGTCGCTTGGAGACAACACACCAACATATCGCCTCCATTGTCCTAAATATAACGACAAACCCTATCTAACCAAACCGAATTGTTTAAAATGCTGATTTCGGTACGGCAACAGTGCTTTTTATCTCAATCTGCAGGAGAGCGACACTAACAAACACTCTTCCATACACATACATGCGTATACATACGCACTATCAATCACTTCTTACATGTGCAACCTCCATGGTACGGATCTTCAACATATCCTTTGTCGCAATGACATTGCTGGATTGGGACATCACAATGAGAATGAGGTCCACACTTTCCTCCGCAGGCATCTTAATGGCAAAATTGAACAATAAATTAACTCATAAAAATGTAAATAATTCATCATGCCGTCAATGGAGAAAGTACATGATAGTTTAAACGATGACATTGATATTTATTGATATTGATCAATGTTTGGTTTATTTCATGCATACTTCGAATGTACTTTTACCGAAGAATGTCACTTTCAGCAAGCCCGTCTAAAATGTGCAAGTATTATATTTCAAATTGCTATCTTCTGGTCAGAAAAGTGTTATCGTAATTTCTTAACCTGCAGAAACAATAATTTCTCAAAAATTATTTGTAATTTAATTGTATTGTAATGAGAAGAAGAACTGTATACAGCTGTGATAGAGTCTTTCGTATTTGGTCTTCTATACAAGTGTCATTGAATACAGCAATGATAATCTCTACTATGGTAATGATCTGTTAACTTTTGAAAGATTATTTTCCAAGGTGTACGGTCTCGAAAAATGAAATATTGCGGTCGCAGAATTATTGTTTAAACTTTAACCAAAGTTAATAATTGTAAAATACTTAATAGCAATTACTACCATCGTTATCTGTGATTGTGATCGTAGTCGTTGACGGTTCTCCAATTTCGCCACCAACACTGACAGACACCAACGTCAAATCACACGTCTCGGATTGTTCGTATATCTGTTGAAATAGACACATTACACATAAATACTTACATACCATATTTACCTTGAACTTTCATAAATTCCCGGCCAGCCATTCGTTTTCTTAATAAACATAAATCCAGTGACTAAAGCTAATTCACTGGTTATCGGCTGGATTAATAGATTTTAAAATAATGTATGACGTCTTTACATTCTGATCACCGGATGTCTGACAAATACAGTTGACAAACATTAATTGCTATGCGAAACCCTGTTTTATAAACTGAAAGCAGACTGTCAAATAACTTACCGAATCGTCAACAATGTAGATGGTAATGTATTGTGTGGACACGCCTTCACCGAAGACGATCGTACCGTGGCTGTTGAAGAAATCTGCACCATGTATAGCGGTACCATCAGTTGCCTTGAACGTCACAGCAACGACGCCAATTGTTCCTCCTTGACGCAGAACCTCAACCGTCAGCGTGCTCACACTTTCTGACACGGTGTAGGTCTCTTTTGCAAACACGATTTTACTTGGCTCTGTAAAACAATATCAGATGGATGAGAAAGCTATCTTCTCCAACAAACAACATTTTACAACTGAATAATCTTAAATTTATTACAAAAACTGTTTACAAATTGCCTGCCGAAATCTATCAGCTTTCTAATGAAAAATATATATGAAATATTTCAGAACGGATCATAAACATGTTTTCAACAATAACTTAAACATACATAGTGCATGTTTTCTTACATACAATTATTACTAATCAACTAATTGATTTTTGGAATCCACATGATTTGGATTTTAAATCACAATGTTTAAAAATGTTCAATGAATTACATTGTTTACAACGTATCCCAACAAATAGAAGTTGTATTTATAGCACTATGATCATATGATTTAAGTATCATGTCGTATCAGAAGTTGAAATAATCGTTAAGTAACTTTCATCTATAACACTTACAATGTAAGTTAAGTGTTATCGCCAGCTTCACGAAATTTAACTTTTCAATAGGAAATATTTAACTTTATTAGGTTTCGATGTTTTTTAACCATGTTGTTAAAACAGTTTTCATGGGAAATCCTTAAACTTTTGTCTGCAATAGACATTCTTTTTCAGAATTTTTCGTTTGCGTATCCAATTGAATCAAATAATCTCTATCTTCTATTTGCTATCACTACTTCTTTGATTGTATGATTAGATAACAGTGTTGAGCCGATAGAGTAGCAAGATATTTATTATAGCAAAGCTAATTTTTTTTCTTTCTGTAACAAATTTCTTCGGAAACTTAACCAAGATTATTTTGTTTTTCTATTGCCCACGCTATTTATGTTTAGATGAAAAACAAGTCTAAGCTATCTCATATGTTATGTTTAACAGTCTCTGTGATGGTAAGCATATTTTCCCTTACAAAGTAACATTTCGTTTTTCCCATATGTTAATGTAGTCAACAGAGTTTTGCTTCCCACAGTACACCATCATAAATATTCTACCATCATGCTTTGCTATTTTGTTTTATCACGTTTTCTATATAAAAATCGAGTGCCGTTGTCTCTAAACACCAATGAAATAATATATAAACTAAATAATAATTACGTTTGTTATCATTAGACAACATTATGATGCATGATAGTAATTCATATTCAAAACTGCTTTAACTTGAACAAATAATTCCTTAGAGAGATTTAACTTACCGAAACATCTAACGGTTCCGTCTCCAACTAGTCCTTCGTTGCATTCGCATTTGTCTGTATCTGGGTTGCAGGAAGCGTTTTCAACACATTTCCCATGACATGGAACTGAGGAAAAGATATGGAATTTATAACATATACAATTAAATACTATTGCACTATTAAATATACCTATTCATTAACTAACTAGCTTAAAATTGTCGCAATACAGAAAAATCGACACCGGGCAATCCATGTCAAAAAGTCGGCCAATACAGAACAAGAAACCGCCAAAGGCGATATGGCCGGATTGCTACAGTACATTTTCATATAAAGCATCACATGTGATCAGCATCCTTTAAGATACTAAGCAATGCTACTTTAGTTGAGGTACAGGAAGTAATTACTTAGTAACTGCATGACCCTAACCAATCTTCCTAACCTGGTCACTGAAAATGAAAATGTAGGTCAGAACCAGCATCTGAAGCATGTCATGTGATAAGCATCTTTAGATACGTAAGGCATAAACGTTTAGTTGATTTTCAATAAGTAGTTACTTAGTAACTGACCTTAACCAATCTTCTTAACCTGGTCACTGAAGCGGGAAATGTAGGTCAGAACCAGCATTCGAGGTATCGCATGTGATAAGCATCCTTCGATACATAAGCCATGCAAGTTTAGTTGATGTACAACAAGCAGTTACTTAGTAACTGACCTTAACCAATCTTCCTAACCTGGTCACTGAACATGAAAATGTAGGTCCAACCAGCATCTGAAGCATGTCATGTGATAAGTATCTTCAGATACATAAGGCATGCACGGATTAATGGACGGAGGATAGAACAAGGTGGATGGAGAATGTCTTTGATAGTAATGACTTCCAGGAAATCAAGAAAAAAATTGAGATGACTGTAAAAAACAACATAAATACATCAAACCCTACCAGATTTGTAGATTTTGTAGATTTTAGCACTTTGTGTTTTTTTCCATTTGTCACATAGTTAATTGATAAAGTCATCATTGATTGGTTATTTTTGTATTGGCCTAGTCATTGGTCCTCAGCCCACTACACTGGTTTTCAGCTTCGCCAAACAATCAATAATACCATAATATTCATTCTAAGGCAACAACAAAAACATTTCCGTCGGCAATTCGATCAGTTAAACTTGCCTAAAAAGGGTCAATTAGTACCTGGTAATAATATATTATCACCCACATTGCGTTTTGTCATTTGAAACAATAATCTGTCTCGGTTAGTTTTCATATGTAATGAAATTGATAAATTGAAATTTCAAATCCCATGACCCGTTTTCTATCAATACCATTTCATTGTTTGGTTTGGGTTTGTTTAACGTCCTATTAACTGCTTAGGTCATTTAAGGACGTGCCTCCGTGTATGATGCATGTAATGTGTGTATGTGTGTTGGTATGTTGTTGTATTTAGTTCGTGAATGGTTTTTTTTTTATAAGTAGGATAGGCATCGTCTAGGAAAGGACAGCGCTATATATATATAACAAATGACAATATATCTGTCAGATGAAGCAATGTCTCATTGTGAGGTGCCTTAAAATAAAACATTTTATACCATTTCCATTACATTATAGAGCAACTTGAAGAATACTACTATCATCACATAATATTATAGGCGAGCTCACATTGAATTGAATTAATATTATTATTATTAAATGTTTAACGGCCCATCAACACAGGATAGATCATTAGGACCAACAAATGGTCGGGAAAAAACAACTCAATGCAAGATAAAAACATCAAACAAACTTAAAGGTTAAAAGGCAATCGTCAATTTGAATATTGAAATTGGCTATGATGACTCAAATTTTATTTAAAAGACCACACGCTTTCAGCTTTAAAATTAAAGAGACAGTTATGTTTTCGAAAAGAGATTTAAGACATGTAATGTTATAATAGAAATTTTCTCGAGTTGACTTCAAGTCGACACAATCTAATAAGAAGTGTTTTACTGTAAATGGTTCCCGACACGCTATGCATTGAGGCTGGACATCACGTTTAAGTAAATAACAATTGGTCATGTATGAATAACCCATCTGAAGACGGGCAAGGACAACCTCGTCTCGGCGCCTCTCTCTGTAGCTAGGTTGTCATTCACCGATTTTAGGTTTAATAGAATGTAATATGTTATCTACGCATTGATTCCAATTAATTTTTGCACTGTGATCTTAGAAATGTTGTAATTAGTGGTGTAAAATCAGTAAATTGAAGTTTAAAATATTCAAATGTAAGTAATAGTGCTACTTTTGCAGCACGGTCTGCCTTTTCATTACCTGGCATTCCCGCATGTCCAGGAACCCAACAAAAGGTTAATTTACATTTTGAGGTAATATTATGTTACATTGAATTGAACCTGTTTTGAGAAAGCACCCATGTTCAGAGACCACTGTTTTGACTATTTTCTGAGGTTGACTGTGATAAAGCAACACAGGAATATCTACCTTTAAATCACATCTAAACCACTGAAATGTTTGAAATATAATAAGAAATATATATATTGCAGCATCTCATGGTCAAACACCTAAACCATAGGAAAGACACAATGAGCTTCCTTCAAACAAGTAAGATTGGACACTTACCGTGACATCCTTTGGATGGATCACCGATGAATCCGTCTTTACAGTAACATTTGAAAGTGTTTACGTCGCATCGCGTGTTGATTCCACATTTATCCCAACATGGTTCTAAAACAAATAAAAACAGTTGATTATGTCAAGTTTTGCAAATACATACCTAAATAAAAGAATTAAAAAACCCAGAACAAGTCGAACTTAAAACGGATAAATCCTTATTTTATTTTTTATATTTTATAAAGGCAATAACAGTGGATATCTGCGTTATCAATCATTATCATTTTTGGATTGATAACATGTTCGGCGTTGCATCTTACATTATTTTATGCTGTACATTTCTCATTAACACTAACAGGACAAATACCAAGCAATCTTTATATAATACAATCAATATTTGTTTTTCACTTACGGACACATGGATGGGTGCTGGAACCGTAGTAATTTGGTTTACAAACACATCGTCCATTTGTTAACACAGCGTTTTCACAGCATTTTTTCGCAGGGACGTAGTCCCCTCCCTTAGGAGGAGCATAGTCATCTCCTGCAGGCGGTGCATAGTCACCTCCTGTCGATGGAGCATAGTCTCCTCCTTTGGGTGGAACATAGACTTCTTTAGGTGGAACAGGGACTTCTTTGGGTGGAACATAGACTACTTTGGGTGGAACAGGGACTTCTTTGGGTGGAACATAGACTACTGTGGGTGGAACAGGGACTTTTTTGGGTGGAACAGGGACTTCTTTGGGTGGAACATGGACTACAGTTGGTGGAACAGGGACTTTTTTAGGTGGAACATAGCCTTCTTTGGATTTCCTTCCTTTTCTGTTCCTTTTTGCACCTGTATTCAATTAAAACAAAATTGTGAACATTACAAATAAATATGAAAATATCTATTATCGTGGCCCATTGAACAAACTAATCTATGATCCTAATTTAGATTGTTTACTGACAACGCAGTAATGAAAGGCCTTTGATTTTAATTGACAAATTAAACGAGAATATGATTTTAAGAAGAACTAGAGGCCCAGAGGGCCTGTATCACTCACCTGAATATGTTTAAAATAATTGGTATGAAGTAGGTGCTGTAAATACAAATGAAATTTCAGAAAGATCCATCCAGTACTTGAGATATAGCGAGAACAAACTTCAAACAGAGCCCCACCCCTATGCAACATAGGGGGGTCATACCCACCATTTATACAAAATTGAGTCCCCTTTGTTCATTGATGCTCCAGACTAAATAAGGATAAAATCCCATAATCCCGATGGTCGAAGTACGGTTTTAAAGGTTTTCCCTCTATTTCTCCAATTGAGCCCCGCCCTTCTGCCCCCTGGGAGACCACACCCACTACTTATACAAAATTGTTTCTCCTTCACCCAAGGCTACTTCATACCAAATTTGGACAAAATCCTGTCATTCCTACAGAAGGAGAAGGATTTTGAAGAATTTGCTATGTTTCCCCTATTGGGCCCCTCCCTTCTGCCCACAGGGGGGCCACACTAGCTGTTTATACGAGTCCCTTTTGCCTAAGGATGTTCCAGACTAAATTAGGAAAATATCCCTTTATCCCTATGGTAGAATTGGGATTATAAAGGTTTTACCTGTATTTTCCCTATTGGGCCCCGCCCCTCAGGTCCCAGAGGGGCCACACCCACCGTTTATACAAAATTGGTTCCCCTTTACCAAGGATGCTTTACACCAAATATGGACCAATTCCTACAGAAGAAGGATTTTAGAGAATAATCTGCTATGTTTCCCCTATTGGGCCCCGCCTCTCAGGCCCCTGGGGGGCCAGACCCACGGTTTATACAAAAATGGTTCCCCTTTACCTAAGGATGCTTCAGACCAAATATGGACAAAATCCCGTCATTCCTAAAGAAGGAGAAGGATTTTAAAGAATTTGCAATATTTCCCCTATTGGGCCCCGCCTCTCAGGCCCCTAGGGGCCACACCCACCGTTTATACAAAATTGGTTCCCCTTTGCTCAAGGATGCTCCACACCACATATGGACCAAATCCTTTCATTCCTTCAGAAGAAGAAGGATTTTAAATAATAATTTGCTATGTTTCCCCTATTTGGCCGGGCCTCTCAGGCCCTTAGGGGCCACACCCACGGTTGATACAAAATTGGTTCCCCTTCACCCAAGGATGCCTCAGACCAAATATGGAACAAATCCTTTCATTCCTACAGAAGAAGAAGGATTTTAAAGAATTTGCTATATTTACCCTAATGGGCCCCGCCCCTCAGCCCCCAGGGGGGCCAGACCCACGGTTTATACAAAATTCTTTCCCCTTTTCCCAAGGATGCTTCAGACCAAATATGAAACAAATCCTTGCATTCCTACAGAAGAAGAAGGATTTTAAAGAATACTTTGCTATGTTTCCCCTATTTGGCCGGGCCTCTCAGGCCCCTAGGGGCCACACCCACGGTTTATTCAAAATTGGTTCCCCTTCACCCAAGGATGACTCAGACCAAATATGGAACAAATTATCCTTTCATTCCTACAGAAGAAGAAGGATTTTAAAGAATTTGCTATATTTACCCTAATGGGCCCCGCCCCTCAGCCCCCAGGAGGGCCAGACCCACCATTTATACAAAATATGTTCCCCTTCCCCCAAGGATGCTTCTGATCAAATTTGGTTAACATCTGCCCAGTCGTTCATGACCAGTAGCGTTTTAAAGGAAAAGTTGACGGACGGACGGACGGACGGACGACGGACATGCGGTATGGCATAAGCTCACCATGGTCCTTCGGACCAGGTGAGCTAAAAATCAAGTGATATATGAACGATTACCATCTATTAAAAAAGGCATATTATTAAAAAATATTGTACTTACACGATGGTGCAACAAGTATTACCGCATAAATGACGAAGAGGAGTCCAATGGTCCGTAGTAGGTGTGCCATCTTGTTAATCAAGGTGTGCAACGCAAAGTTGAATCAAACTTTCTCCTTTTATAGAGAGGATATTCGCCTAGTAGCAAATACGAATAGTGACATATGGTGAGGGTCGACGAAAAAACTCCTGGATCAGCATCCTTGTTATCATTTTTTTTAAAGCATTATATGCTTCTTTTGGTTTTAACATTCCAAATCCTAATCGAATTTGTATACTTCCCTAAACGTGACAAGTAACATTTCTGATAATACTTTGATGTCTAACAGATGTTGGAAATAGTTTGTTTTCCCTAACATAACTGTTACATTGGACAAAACAAAATTCAAGAGCTTAACACATATTGATCGAATTTCAGACATGTTGCAAGTGATGGATTTGCCGCCTTATTTCTCTGTGCGTATGTAAAAGAAATTCATAATTACGTATTTATTATGATTAAATATCAAGAGGGATTAAGATGGCCGCCGAGAAGGCAACACCTGTCTAGTGGTGTTCGGGAAATTTTGCGAAAATCAGGAAATATTAGTAATGTCCTTACTTTAAATTTGTTACCAAAAGCGTGGTAACGGAATATGGTTGTATTTCATGTAAAAAGGAGCTTGTGAGTTTTGGAAAGTTTTAAAATTTGGCGCTTTTTTTGTTCTTCTTTGGAGTATACAGAACTTCAATTTCATTTCAAATTGATTTTATTCTTCGACTGGGCACAGGCATTACCTATAAAAGCCCGTTCAATATACCAATACATTCATTTCAAGCATGTGTAGTAGGTAATTTGAAGATTTAATATATTAAGTTTAGGAAAATCGGGTAGGTCAAACCAATCAACAATTAGATTTGGGACAGGCATAGCTTATAAAAACTCTTTCCGTATAGAACGACGTGAAGTTTAAACAAATGTATAAAGCAAATTGAAGATGTAATATATTAAGTGTAGAAAAATACGGTAGGCCGAACCAAATATGTTATATTAATTTAACGGCATATATCTACAGTTTGGTTAGGGCACTTCAAAGTCTGTCCCTACACGCAGTGCCATATAACCAGTAACACTAGAATTGCATAAAGAATAAGATATTTTGCACAGCAATAGTCACTGATTACTTATGAAAAAACAAGAGAACAAAAAACGCAGAGCACCTAGACTAACACCAGCTGACTATTTAAAAACTAACCTAAGGACGTTTTCGTTCATCGCGATGCAAACAGTTGATCAACATGTATTGATTGTTGTTTGTTTGATGAAGACGACAATTTCTCGTTTCTATTGGTAAGTAGAACTGTGATACATATGAATGACAATAAATGAGAGAACTGCATCATTGGGATCGCCCGCTACATAGAGGAACATCTGGAACTTATCAATTAAGAAAATGAGTCGCTGTATAAACATAAAAGCTCAAATGTCTAGGAGTCATAATGATAAATTGACACAGTTAATTATGATTATAAACCTTCTATCACATTCCACACCGCAAATGTTTCATGTTTTGCATCTTAAAGTATTTTGTTTGTTAATGAGGAGTGAAATGCAAGACATCTTTGAAGATTTAAAAAAAGCCAATTTGAACAGTAATAGTCACACAGGGGTTTAAGGTTCATGTAAACACTAATAATTGACCTTCAGGTCCCTTTATTTCATATGTAAATATTACATTTATTACAAGCTGTGCTGAATTGTCGTTTTCAATGTTAGATGTTATTAATTCAAGCTCCCTATAGCCATGATTGAACGTTTGCCACGCACTCAATAAATAGTGTTATTTGAAATATAAATGAGTTACTCGTGAATATTTTGCCACTATTTTAGGGGAAAATTAGAACTGATAACCTATTCATGTTTGAGAATTGAAACTTTGGCAAAAATAAGATAGTATATACAGTTAGGGACTCCTATGAAGTAAATTATGTTTAAACATCGATACATGGATTTTGGTTAAATCGAAAGTCATCGTGTTGTCCAATGGATGCCGCCATTTTAATTTTTTAGCTGTCAAAAAATGGTGATTATTTCCGTCACAATAACAAGCGATCGGTGCATCCATAAAACACCAAACGACGTGAAATAGACTGCGTTGACATCGAATAAACCATAAATAACTAGCACATGTCGTAACCAGGTCTTTTGTCCATATTCCGACCAACTTTCTTCCTCTTCGTATGATTTTCGTAACGGACGACATGACGATATCGCTCCGCAGTTAATTTACAAAAATGACAATATTTCCTGTCATAGTTATCAAAACAAGTGTATAATTCCTTAAATATTAAAATACTTTTGATGCCGAATTGAATTACACAAATGTAGGAGTATTACTACAGAAAAAGAAATCATAATATTCAAGATCGGACTGTTTGTGCGGCGTCACTTCCGGCAATGTGCATCAGACGTCAACAACATGAAACAGAGGAGAACACACCGAGATGCAGAAGATCGACAATGTTTATTTGTTGAAAGTATGGTTTGTGTGATAGAATACAGTTGTAATTTACATATAAAGTAAACATAGATAATGTATTGCATGAGTCGATGTCCTGGTAAGAAGAGATTTGTGTGTTGTATTTTGACAAGTGGCACAAACAGGAAATGCGAAAAAAAGGCATTTTTTTTTTTTTTTTCAAAACAAATTTACAAGTTTTTGGCACATTTTGGTCAATGCATATGTTCTTTCTTGTGAAATTGAATGTTCTTATTGAAAAACCGATTATTTATATTACTGTTTGAAGTGTCAATGAAAAGTAAACAATTTATGGAAGCATGGAAGAAGCACATGTGTCAAATTAGTGTCTACTGCATTGCATTTCAGTGAAGCAGCACTCAAAAAGACGCCATTCGTATGCTATGTCAAAAGAGATTAGTCTGCAAAGAATCTGAATGTGAATTTTTAATAGACATTGCATACCAATTAATTAACACTAATGATAACTTTTATTTATTTTATAACACAGGTGTGCAGCACAACTAATTGAAGCCTTAGAAGCACATGTCAAATAACAATATTGCCGTGAACATATGAGGAGGAAGCTCTAAAGACCCACACATTCCAAAGTGTTTACATCTACATGTAATGTACTGGGAATATATGCTCGTCAACCTCAATGCATGGTTATTGTCTATTCCAGAAATGCACGAAGAACATTGAATGAAATTTGTCTGACGACTCATTTTCCACCAGAGGACAATGAAACACACAAAGTGGCAATCTACAACTGTACAGTACTCAGTTTTATAGGAACGATGGATTTGATGATGCAGTGTATAGAAATCTCTATGAAGGGAATGACAAGGTTTACAAAATTGACTATTTGCAGGATTACTTGGTTGCCTGACAGTTACTCCATCATTATGTGTTTGTAAATATTGGTAGCTACCATTATGATATGGTGATTTCCGATGGGACGATGTTGTTGTGGTATCTTCCTCACTAAGCAAAAGACATCTAAGCTTTTTTTTCACGTCTGCAACTTCATGTCAAACAGCATTCCAAAGTTTGAACACTCGCGTGTGATGTACTGGAATACTCAAATCGTACTGTAGTAGCCCATCGCGAAAGTTAAACCTGACTGATTTAGTTGGCAGAAACTTGCAGAGAATATTGTTTTACGGATATGTAAATTGGTAAATATGCCAATGTCTTGATTACGTTGGAAGAAATGCGATTATTCCAAAAGCTTCAATAATGATGAACGGTAATCAAATTGAAATTTGACACATGATCCAACCGCTAAAATGATAGCACAATACATCAACTTGAAATCTTATGCATGGAATTCATGTCAATTTTATTGAATAATTGGTATTTATTTTTATTCAAAAATTACAAATATACCTAGTAACTTATATAAATGCCACATTATCGCCACCCCAGGCCCAGACATACCAAAGTCTTTAAAAATGGTAGTTTATACTCCTGCTTAAAGCTCAGCAAATTAGGAGTGGGACGACTGGTTCGCCCGTTGTCAGTATAATGTGACCGGGTGGGGCGTCCTGCTGGGTGTCTTCGGCAGTATGTTTCAGTGAGGTAGCACTATAAAGTCGGCATCAGTTCCCCGCTATCACAAGGAGACAAACACGAACATATCGCAGCCTCCCAAAATACACACACATACACTACACGCATGCATCTTGCACACGGGGGAGGCCGTCCTTAAATGACCTTAGCTGTTAAAAGGACGTTAAACAAAATGAAACAAACAAACAAAAATTCCAAATATCTAGCATCTGACTTGGATAATGTCATTAGTTAAGAAGAGGATATTGTTAACTGTTGGTTTCACTGTTTACGAAACCAATTCCATCAAATTTCCCCACGAGGAGGAAAAGGACGAATCCATACCAGTCCTGGACAAGCTCAATGTTTCAAAATGAAGACGGCACCATGAAACTAGTATTGTTCTGCAAACCGACACACACTGATCAGTAATTGGCTTTCAATTTGCACTAAACACTACACCAAAAGCTTGAAGTCATTGACAGATGCAACAACATTATCCCAGTGGAACACAATATCTTGGACAAGTTCGAGTTTCAGGGTTGTTAGATCAAGGTCGAGGTCACTGTTACTGTTTTTAGAAAATCCTTGTCATCGCTCTAACCGCTTAATTCCTTGAGGGATTTTGATCAAACTTCATACAATTACCAATAAAGAACCATAGGACAAATCGAGTTTCATGGTTGTAGGGTCAAGGTCAGGAAACCGTTACTATTCTTAGAAAATCCTTGTTAGCGCTCTAGCAGCTTCATTCCTTGAGGGATTTTGATTAAACTTCATACAATTATACAACCATAATAGCTCGGACAAGTGCGAATGTTACACATTATAGTTTAGAAACATTAGGTTACCTACAGACATCAAATAACTTTCAAGTTCAAAAGGCCATAGCGCTTAAAAGGGCAATAATGATCCGAATTAAACTAGATAAGTAACACGTTATTACACATTGGTGATGATATTCACGTCTCTTAATCACCCTTGCTGGTAATTGATTTAATACCACAAAAAAAAAAAAAAAAAAAAAAACAATCATTTTATTTGATATAATTCCTCTGTCATAATACTAACATTTCAATTTATTGTATTATTATTATATTAAAATCAGTTACAAGCTAATTGTATACTTTTCATTTTCCCAAATTAACACAAAAGGGCACCATTTTTATAAATCATTACAGTGTAATAGCTATCGGGGACCGGTAGGGGACATGTATTGGTTTAGCAATACTCAGTATGCATGTACCATAAACCATAAATACCTTTTGTGATTACGTCTTTATCTTTCTTTTCACTTCTAACTAGCTTTTCCTAGCGACTTTCTTAGAGGCACGTTCTTAAATTACCTTAGCTGTTAATAGCACATTAAACAAAATTAAACGAAACCAATTTCATGCACCTATTCCATAAACATCAGCATACTATATAATCATACACCCTTGCGGTCGGGGATCAGGAACAGAATGAACCTGCATATATCGGAGACGGAAATTAATTTGGGACCCTCCAGCTCCCCCTCCCCCCGACTCCTGTAAAATTAGGAATTCGCGTTTGTTTGCTTTTCGTGGGACCACAAACACAACCAGAATAAATATACTTCACCATTGCAATGGTCTTTTATTTCCTAGTGCCTATCTTGACAAAATCTCACTTTTGGCTTTAATATTGAACAATCGCCCGGGTGAGGAACCCTTTGGGTCCTGTCGCCCATACCGGGACATACCAAAGTTCTGAAAGTGGTATTTGTTTTTCACAACTTTACCTTCTGCATTTATTGTACATGCAACTTATGTTTCCGGGCGGATAGCACTATAAAATCGGCGTCAGATCCGACTGCGCTATCACAAGGAGGCAAATACTCCCATACCCTGTCTCCGACACACGTACACGCACGCATGCATTCACCACACACATAAGGCAAGTCCTCAAATTACCTCAGCTGTTGAAGGACGTTTAACCCTTGCAACTAACCAACTCTTGCTGTCGCCTGTCAAAACTACGCTGATGTTGCCTTGCAATAAATTATCCAGCCTTTGAGGCCAAGAATCGGGCCAAGAATCGGGCTAAAGACAATGTCTACGCCAAACCAATTAATTCATCTTTGGCATCCGTTGACGGTCCAGAAAACCTAGATAGGTTGATTGGGATCATTCAGTGCCAGAGGAAAATCTATGGGTATGTTATCAGATGAATCAGTCGGATCATCAAGTTTGGCTGTGACAACTCTGTTGATCATCAGATTCAGGCTCTTTTAGGTAATATCTAAATCGGTCGAGTCTCTCACTGCATCATCGGCCTTATATGGCTCTTCCTATAAGGAAGTCATGTCATCGATATCAAGTAGGTCATGTGGTTGTGGTAGTCAGTAGCCTTTCTTGAGTACTTTGTATTCCATGTGATCTCGGAAGTACAACAGGAAGGTTTCTTCCACTTTTTAAGTATTTGGGACATTTTGGTAAAGAGGTCTTTAAACCATTCTTTTTTGATTTTCTGGAGTTCTGAATGTTGCGCTGTCAGCCTGGTCTACCTGCTTTGAACAGATTCATGTAGCACAACCAATACGAGTTTATATGTGACGTTTCGATTACTTGTACTGCATGTACTCACCTTCATCAGAAAAATGACCGGTGAAGCGTATGCACACAAAGGTGTAAAATATGTACGAGTTGTCCACGCAACTCGATGTCGGATCGGCTACTCTACGCTGTTAGCGAAACTACATATATTACAACTAATTGTACAAACGCTTACATGAACTGATTCCAAAACTGTATAAAACTTTCATGCTTCTACTCATAAACCAACGATTCGGTCAAACATCTTCAGTCACTGAACCCTGACAAACTCTTTAAAACATATAATGTGCCAATAGCAGACATCCTAATAAACAAATTTAATGAAAAAGCTTAAAACAGCTACAACTGATAGAATGCTTGATGACTTTTCATTTGTTCTTGGCTTATGTTACGTTAAAGAGCTATAAGAGCCCTAAAAGTCTACTTATGAAGCAAATGCAATTATCGGTAGTAACAGAAATAGTAGCGAGAATATCATTTATCAAGAACCCTTACAGGCATATTGAACAATTTATCATCAGAGCAGCAACTGCAGCAACTACATCACTTGTAGCAGCAGCAGCAAAGGCGCGCAGGTAACATGAAATTACCGCTTCATAACCTTCAGAGTTTACAAATTTAATATTACCTACCGATAGTGCAGGAAGGTTAAAGGATTTCATATGCATCATGGAGTACCATTCATGTTTATATCTAAATATATATTACATTAATGCTTCAGGAATCCTGTTTACAATTGAATGTGCGCAAACGAAATACCAGATTCAAATCTAAACGCCCTTTTCTAGTTATACAAGCTTTCAAAATTGTACATGAAAAACATATGACACCAAAGAGGACGTTTTTTTTAATAAATCTGCTGACTCTTCTAGGATAATGCAACAGTGAGTAGTACAAACGTTAGACACCGCTCCCCGTGAAAAAATGTTCGAGGATTTAAAAAAATAAATATTTTGTAGCAAGTTGTCGACGGGATCAACGCTATGCAACAGATTGATGTAAACCGCCAGCCTGGCAACAGTTTTACATATCATGTTATGAGTAAATATATTGCATATCAACGTAATGAAATATGATGCGTTTTCTTGTAATTGATTGAAATGAATAGAAACTGAGGGATGGTCTTAATCTTTGAAGCAACCAAGCCCTGACACACCACGTCAATTTGTATGTAATTATATAGAATAAAACTCATATTTGTATAATGCATGTATAATTTTACAAACTTATCTGATTTATAAATGTATTTTGTTCAAAAAAAGTATGAACATGCCCATATTGTCATAAACCTATGCGTCTCAAAACAATGCTTAAAAACATTCAAAACATTTATCTGATCTTAACGAATTCCTGTTAGATTGTATAAACATGAGAAAAGCAAACGATAAACCGACAAAACGTGTGCATGCAACGATGGTATTACGTTTTATTATTAAAAGTGTAAGTAAGACCAGCCTTATTGTCATGCATGCGATCAACCATTTACAGTCAAACACTTTATGATGTAATGCGCTGATTTCAAACAAATACGTGACAATCTTATGATGTACCTTCTATGAAATGATTATCCGATACAGTTTATGTGCAATTAATATATGACTATTTCCATGCTATTGATCTTCATAATAAAATATGATATATTGTGCAGCCAATTTGTTCGATATTGATGTATGTCTTTAATCCTTTACACATTTTGAGCTATTTAGTTTTGGTTTGATGTGTTTATTTTCGTGAATATCTCTTTCTAAAGAATTGTTGGCACCTAATGACTCGCATTGTCGATAGGCCGTTAAACAATACAAAAACAAAACAACTTTCAACGGTCAAAAATTTTAAGTGGATTTAAAAATAGTCCACATTTTATTAAATTCAAATAATGTCATTTTTATTAACAAACCTGTGCGTGTAAATACATTTCAAATACACACACACATAAATAAGTCTGCAACTACTTTATCAGCAACGTTTGTAACTCGATCAATATATGTTAAGCTCCTGAATTTTGTTTTGCCAAATGTAGCAATTTTGTGTTAGGAAAACGATACACGCGGTAAGCTATGCAAAGTATCTCCAACATCTGTTTGACAGCAACGTATTATCAAAAAATTAACTTGTTAAGATGAAGGATGTATGTAATTCGATTAAGATTTAGAAACTAACGGAATATGTCGTCCTTTGAAACATTTAGTAATAAATGTGCTGATTCAAAAATATTTTGACAACCCTCACCATATGTCACTATTCTTATTTGCCACTAGACGAGTAAACTCTCTATAAAAGGAGAGTTTGATGCAAATTGGCGTTGTTCACCTTGGTAAACAAGATGGCACACCTACTACGGACCATTGGACTCTTCTTTGTCATCAATGCGGCAATATTAGTCGCGCCATCGTGTAAGTAGAACATTGTTAATCAGATCTTATATAACTCGTTATAAATCAAATTTATTTATATTATTTTAATACCTAGATTATTTTTTTATTTAAATTTTCGAAAACTATCAAACGTATTTTATAACATCGACGCCAATATACAATCCGAATAAGTGTTAAGACATTATCTTCCTAATTATGTTAACTGCTAACATAATTTTTATTAATTTCCATTAAAAGCGGGGGATGACTATGCTCCTGTGAACATACCCGGAAAAGGAATATATGTTCCACCCAAAGACGACTATGTTCCACCAAAGGGCGGGGACTATGCTCCGGCATCAGGTGGGGGCTATGTACCGCCAAAGGGAGGAGACTATGTTCCTGCGACAAAATGCTGTGAAAATGCCGTGTTAACAAATGGACGATGTGTTTGTAAACCAAATTACTACGGTTCAAGCACCCATCCATGTGTCCGTAAGTGAAAAACACAACTTGATTGTATTTTTATAAAGATACATTTTATGTGTCTGATAAGTATAAATGAGAAATGTAAAATTCAAGATACAACGCCCAATAGAAAACATCAGTCCAAAATGATACAAGGATCAATAACGCAAATACTTTCTTTTATTGTTTTTTTTAGAACATCCTACGTTACTTCATTTAAAATATATTGATCATTTAGCTTGACTTGCATCAAGTTTATTTTTAGGCTTTAATTTATTTATGTGTTTGCAATTTCTCTGGTTTGACGTGTTTTAGAACCATGTTGGGATAAATGCGGAATCAACACGCGATGCGACGTAAACACTTTCAAATGTTACTGTAAAGACGGATTCATCGGTGATCCATCCAAAGGATGTCATGGTTAGTATCCAATCTGCAATATATGGATTTCTTATTACCTCTCAAACATTTTAGTTGTTAAGATATGATGTAACGAAAGATATTCCTGTGTGGGTTTTTTACAGTATGAAAAGACCTTTTCAGACAACAGTCCGAACAGCGGTCTCTTAACACAGATGTTTTCTTAAAACTAACCAATAAGGTTATAGCACGAATGTGACGGTAGTGGTATATTACTATTTGCTCTTTTATGTAATGAAACTTGTAGTAATGTTTTAATTTCATTTTTAAGCCACCACACAATATTAACTTGCTTCATCTGACATATACAAATATATTGTAAAATATGGTTTTTACAGCGCTGTCCATTTTTCGACAGTAACTGTCCTAATTATCAAACACATACCATATTCGAACTACATCATGAAGCTTGTTATATAATTTTTCATTTTACTACCAAATAGTATGGATACTGGATACAGAATGGTTTATGCAGTTTGTCATTTTCATTTTGCATTTACATTACCTATGAAAACCTATTGACGCAGATCAATGCTTAAATGACAACGCAATGTGGGTGAAAAATATATAATAACCAGTTACTATTATATCCTTTTTGGGCTTGTGTTACAGAACAACTTGCGGTCAGTAATGATTCTGCTGTTGCTTTTAAATAAAAAGATAGGTATATTTGATGGTGTAATGGTATTTTATTGTATATGTTATGAATTTAATATCTTTTCGTCAGTCCCATGTCATGGAAAATGTGTCGAAAATGCTTCCTGCAACCCAGATACTGACAAATGCGAATGCGACGAAGGACTAGTTGGAGACGGAACCGTCAGATGTTTTGGTAAGTTAAATCTCTCTAGGGAATAATTTGTTCAAGGTAAAGCAATTTTGAATTTGACAAACTTTCTTGCATGTGAATGTTGTCCTTGAAAGTTATAACATTTATAAGAGTGTACTGTGGGAAGCAATAACGGTTGACTTCGTTGACATATGGGAAATAAAACTGATTTTGTTAGGAGCAATTATGCTTTCCATTATATCCCGGATAATGCAAGGTGACGGTAGCGTTGTTATGACAGGTATCATGCGTGTCTACCAGCTAAGCACTGTAGTGATAGCTATTATAGAATTTAAATATTCCTAATTACTCAGGAAAAGTTTGATTCATTATATAGGATGAAATCTTGAATTGGATAGGCAAGCGAAACATAGTAAGTAAATGTCTTTTGCAACAGAAAAGGATTCCATATGGAAAATGTTTGAACAACATAGTTACACTATATCGAAATCTAATAAAGTTAGAGATTTTCGATGTTCTGATGTTCATAGCGCTATAATACCAAGTTATATTTGTTATTTAATAAAATATGTCAATAATTAAATATCAATTGAAATACAAAAGTATTTATTTTACGTCGTGTACATTGACAACAACAAGCATAAGCTCTGTAGAGCTTTTATTACGATGACGCTAAGGAAACAAACCACCGAGCTATCGTAGGTACAGTATAACAACTAACCCTATGAGATTTCACTCTCTTTTTTTCCGCCACCGCTGGGGATAGAACCTAAATTCCTGGGAGAGTGAGAGGTCTTGAAGTTCACGCTTGATTTCACATAGTAATAATGACTGTAGGCGTTAGCGATCATGGCTACAAATGCACCCAATGTAATTCATTGAACGTTTTGGAATGATGTTATTTTAAATCAAAAACAGTTGATACGTTTTTAAATTGATTTCAATTGTAATTCCAAAACTTCATAGTTGATTTTTAGGACACCTTACCATAGGTCATGCTGAACTATTGTCATCTGTCTTCGTCTGTAGTCATGCGTCGTGCGTTAACTTTTATCTTGTTATCAAGATAACTTGAGTAAACGTAATTGGATTTCAATAAATATTGCTATGATAGTTTTTATTAATACGATCTCAGAAAATTTTGAAAACTGTCCCGATCAAACAGTAACTAGCAGAGTTATTGGACTTTGACATTTTAATTAATATCGGAGCCTATGAGACTTGAGCTTGTGAGCACGATGACTGTAGTAAAGTGAATGGGTTTCGATATAGTTTGCTATTCTGCTTTATATTAATAAGATCCCGGATGAGTTCGACAATGGACCCGATGACATCAACTAGCAGAGTTACTGTCAATCGGAGAATACAAGATGGTTAATCATGGCCTCTGATTTGCTGAAACGAGAAATTTTCGACTACTCATGATTGTCTTCAGCAATTCACTTCTTTATTTGTACAAATGTTCCTTATGAGGTTCCAAACAAGAGTTCCTACTTTTTGTCGCGATCAGAAACTCCAAGATGGTCACCATCACCTCTCAGTGACTGAGATGTTTTTGACTTCTTCTCACGAAAGGCTAAACCGATTGACTTCAAACTTTGTTGAACTGTTACTTATGAGGTTTCGCCAAAGTTTGTACTTTTCATGCTGATTGTTAACTTCTAGATGACCACTCTGACCTGTGATTGGCTAGGTTATTTACAACTTCATCTGTAGATATTCATGTATGCATCATGTGTATACCTGGTCTTCACGTTAGTATGGGTGTATGCCCTCTCTCCAAAGTAACTGTACCAATTTAAAAAAAGATCATGCTACAACTTGAGTACTTCAGAATCTATTCAGGTGACCATTTAGGTAGGCACAACATGGGCCTCTTGTTTATAATTGTATTCAAGGAAACATGCATTATTATGTTTAATTTTTTGCTGAAGATTTTTTTTATTGGAAAGCTGGCAGGAATTTTGTAATTGTATCTGACTGACAGAAACACATACATAAAAATACCTTGAGAGAGTTAGAGGATGAGAAAAGTGATGAAGGGAATGGGATTCAGAGTAATAAACAAGTCAAAACAGTCAACGTCCAACGACAGATTTGGGTAGGCATTTTGTAAATCATTGGTTTGATAAGTTATTGATTGCTAATTGTAAGATGTTGTTTGTGGAGGTAGGTAGCTTTCTCATCCACGACGTCTTGTTTTACAGAGCCAAGTAAAGTCGTGTTTGCAAAAGAGACCTACACCGTGTCAGAAAGTGTGAGCACGTTGACAGTGGAGGTTCTGAGACAAGGAGGAACAATTGGCATTGTTTCTGTGACGTTCAAGGCAACTGATGGTACCGCTATACATGGTTCAGACTTCTTCAACAGCCACGGTACGATCGTCTTCGGTGAAGGCGTGTCCACACAATACATTACCATCTATATTATCAACGATTCGGTAAGTTATTTTACATACTGCTTTTAGTTTATAGAAAAGTGTTTCTCAAAGCACTTATAGTTTGTCAATTGCAGTTTGGTTCACCCGTTGTCAATACAATATGACCGGGCAGAATGCTGTGCTGGGTGCCTTTGGTATGATATTTGAGTGAGATAGCATTATACAGTCGGCATTATTATACATGCACGCTCACACAACACACGTGAAGGCACGTCCTTAAATGACCTCAGCTGTTAAAAGGACGTTAAACAAAATAAAACCAAACCAAACCAGTAGTTTGGCTATTGTCACTCTTCCGGTGATCAAAGTATAAAGACGTCATGTATTATTTTGAGATCGATTAATCCAGCCGATGAACCTTAAATTACTTTTGTCACTTGATTTATGCTACATATTTGATATTCGCTAAAAGGAGGCTACCAACTCGTGAAATCTATGATTATCCCGTCACTGTGAGTATAATATATAATTTTCAAGTCTTTCTCCAATTCTTGTGTTTTATTTTTTCTGTAGAAAGTAAAAAAAAACATTTTTAAATTACAAAACGGCTGACTGTTCAGGAATTTAAGAAAGTTTTACGGATGCAAATGGTTTCGCTTTTTTATATGTAATAGTTCTATTTCAACAGATATACGAACAATCCGAGACGTTTGAATTGACGTTGGTGTCTGTCAGTGTTGGTGGCGAAATTGGAGAACCGTCTACGACTACGATCACAATCACAGATAACGATGGTAAGAATTAATATAAAATAATTTAATCTTACAAGTCTTTCCCGAGACCGGACATCTAAGAAAAATATTCATTTGAAAGTGTGTAGAGTATTGCCTCAGTAAAGATTTATTACTGCTGCATTAAATGACACTCAGTATACAAGTTTACATACAATATCAGAGCTGTATTATTCGTCTTCTCAATGCAATTAAGTTAACGTACAGATACTGTCATCATCTTCTGGTTTCTGAAGTTGAAGAAAACGACATTACACTATTGATAATACATACACATTTTAGATGGGCTTTTCTAAAATTGAAAAAGTTTGGTAAAATAACACGAGATAAATCAAAAACATTGATTAATAAACATTTATTTAATCGTTTAAACTATCACTTTCTTTCTCCATTGAAGGAAGGAAGAATTTATTACATTTGCTCATGACTTAGTTCATTGCTATTCAGATGCATGTGGAGGAAAGTGTGGACCTCATTCTCATTGTGATGGCCCAATCCTGCTGTGCCATTGTGACAAAGGATATGTAAAAGATCCGTACCATGGAGGATGTACACGTAAGAAGTGATTGATAGAGTGTATGCGCATGTATGAGTACTTGTTGTTGTCCTGCAAATTGAGGTAAACAAAAAAAAACCCACTTGCTGTAACGAAAGCGGCATATTATTGAACAGCTCGGATTTGTTTGATAGGGTTTAACGTCCTATTTACCAAGTGTTATTGCATTTTCCTCCTTGCTACTTTAAAATGCTAAATAAAATACCATGCCGAAGGCACAAGCAGGTTTTTTTCCATCCGATCACATAATACTGACAACTGGTAACCTAAATGTGACATTAATATGAACAAATCTCCTTATGTAAAGCTCGTTAGCACAGTGAGAATACTAAATTTTTTTACTTGGTAGAACTGCGATGCATGCCAGGGTAACAATGTAAAAGAGTTGGAAATTATAGAATTAATCTTCATGATAATGACCTTATTAGAAGAAAACAGGAAATTCGAATAAAAAAACCCATCATAACAATTAACTCGATTTTCAAGTACATAAACGAATATGTACTTTAGTAAATAATGTATATACAAGCTTATTAGCATTTTTAATAACTGAAGATTTTGCAATCTTAGTATAAAGGGATAAAACTCAAAGAAGGAAATCTATAGGTTATGTTCCAATGCCAAGACATACCGCAGTCCTTAAAAATGGTACAGGGCGCCTTCGGCATGGTATTGCAGTGGCATAGCGCTCTGAAATCGACATCAGTTCTGCACTATCTCAAGGAGGCAAATAAACCAAAATACCGTGTTCCCTGCACAGATCACACATACACGCATGCTAAACACACATAGAGATACGTTCTTAAATGAAATTAGTTAATAAAAGGACGTTGAACTATATATCAAACAAAAGCAAATAAATGAATTGATTGCGTTTATTTATTGCTTAATATTTTTATTTTTATTTTACATTCGAAAATATACCAATGTAAAATGAATATATCACAATATGTCTGAGCTCGTATGCATTGCATGGTTGTATTTTATAATTGTGATTACTTTCAGTACCATGTGGTGGAAGGTGCTGCACCAATGCATACTGCAATACAAAAGACAACCGATGTTATTGTAATGAAGGATACTATGGAACTCCCACAGTAAACTGTTACCGTAAGTTGAGTTTGTTATGATCTTACAACTCCGTTGGTGATTCGTTTAACAGACATAAAGCGAATGATTGTTGCTTATTTTACCTTCATTTTTTTTTACTCAAACCATTTGACAATCATTTGGTGACAAAATGCATCTTGTACTTAATTCACCAAAGGTTTTCGGTTATAGACAGTATTATGTTTTCGCATGTGTTATTCACGAGTTTATATTAGTTGTTAACTTGTTATTCGTTTCAACATAATTTAATTATAGAACCATGCAAAGGTGCCTGTAAAGCCAATGCTATTTGTGGAAAGAACAACGAATGTTACTGTAAGACCGGATTTTATGGAAATCCATACGAAGGATGTTATCGTGAGTATTATGACAGTTTTAATGATGTAGAACTTTAGTTTTGTTTTTTTGTTCTGAGATATGCATGTTGATGATGAATTTGTTTTTCCTCATGTTCTTGTTTGTAGTTTCGTTGTCGCTGCTTTGGTTCTCACTTACAGGACGCGACATTACTTAGAGTGAAACTTGCAATTGTCTCAATGTTATCTTTCTTTTTGATCATATCCTGCTTAAGTATCATCAATTAAGGTCATCGATTTTGAGTTTAAATAATGGTTATAATTACAGTTCATTCCCTTGAAAGGATTATGTGCCTTTTTACTGTTAAAAAATTATTAGGTTACGACTTCTTCTCCTTCTTTTGTTATAGTTGATAAATGACCACACATAAGTTTTTTTATTGTTAAACCACTGTGCAAAATGATTGCTAATTCCAAAATCTTGTGACCATCTATTCAAAGTCATTTTGACAAGTGAAATGAAAGAAATTCAAGAACTTTTCTTTTGTGCACAGTCAGAAACCAAGTTACAATGTACTCGAGCAAAGGTGCTGTTTGAAATAATTAAATTAATCTTTAATTTTGTATTTATTTCCATTTGCATAGCACCANCCCCAAAAAAAATAACATTTTATTTTCTTTGATAACAGAGGCAGCTGTGATTGGTATAGAACAGGCGACCTACTCTGTGAATGAAAATGCAGGATTTGTAGTAATAACAGTGACGCGAACTGGATCAACTTTCGGAACGATCTTTGCTTCATGGAAAACCAGCGATATTACTGCTATTCATGGAAACGACTATGGCGGCGGAGTAGGTGTCATCCGCTTTGAAGATGGTGAGGAGTCAACGACCATACGCATATATATCGTCGATGATAAGGTAATTCATACAAATGTTTAAAGTTGATATTACGCACAATATTTAATCTGGCAATATGTACTGTAAAAAAGACAAACACTTCACTTATACCCGCACATTTAGATAGGTATATTACCATCACATTCGTCCTTTGATACAATGTTAAAAAATTTAACTAATATGGATATATTTACGATCTTCACGTTTTGCACTCAGTAACACAGTTTCGGCTCACAGTTTAATATCGGTAGGCCCAAATTTATCTTCTTCCTCAATAGCTGTCACTAAAGATGTCATCAAAATAAAATTGATCAAATAAAATTAAAACAAAAATAACAATCATATAATTTTAGCCTATTGTCATTTGGTATTCTTCAGTTTTATGAGACGGACGAGACATTTTCTGTTTCCTTGACCCATGTGTCAGTTGGTGGTGTGTTGGGAATCCATATCCAGACAGTTGTAACTATTGTGGATGATGACGGTAAGTATATCACCTCTATAACATAGCAACAAATCCAGACCCCAGTGTACAATGTATCTTGATAACTGCTTGAATACATGGATCCAGCACATAATGTCCTAGAAATCAAAAACGTGACATTTTGAAAATAACGACGCTACAGTTATCATTATAATGAAAATGTGTCACAAGATTATTTCACAAACGTAGATGTTTTATTTAAAGTTTCATTTTGATACTATGATATATCACAAAAGGTTAAAATGTGAGTGAAAAATAAAATTGTTAAAAAGAGTATCAGGCTAAAGAATGAGTCTTTTTAAATTTTTGTTTGAACATTGTACTTAACAACAAGGTTCCATATTTAAATTTACATCTAATGTACAATATGTCCCTGTAATACTCAATTTACAATGGACATGGTCATGACACATGACATATATACAGCATGAATAAATAATAACAACATCACATGTGCAGATCCTAAAGTATAAAAACTAATCGTTATATCTTAAACAGTTTCTGCATGTATTCTCTCTTAAAAGACAAAGGATGGTTAAAAGTATGGAGGGATTTTTCTAAACTGGTCCATAAAATGCTCTCATCTATAAAAGTTATCTGCATGTATGCCTTCTTAAAGACTCTAGACTAGGTAAAATATGTATTGACTTTTCTAAATTGTTCCATAAAATGCTTACAGAGTAACTAAAACATCTCTTATTATTAGTTGTTCTACATTTTTCACACATTTGTTTGCTGTTAAAAGAACGTGTAGTTCTGGTAGACACCTAGTTAACATAGGTAAACTAGGAACATCTTGTTTATGTAAAATATAATACAAAAGTATGAATTTCCTCAAAACATAAAAGCTCTGCAACGGGAGCCTCTTTAAAAGTTGTAAAAGTACAAAGATTGGGATAAAAAAATCTATAAATTTAAGAACTACTCTTGCTGACCGTTTTTGAAGCATAAACGGTTTATTTTAAATATTCCATATTTGATGGAGTACACCATATCACAGAACAGTATAAGAAGTGTGGTAAATCAATGTTATTGGACAATTGTTTTGCCATACAAACTGACATACATGTAAATACTCTTACACCTTTCAAAACATCAATCTTCTTGGATATTTTCTAACATATATGGCACTATGCATGTCCTTGCTCTCGAGTTTAAGTTTGTTTACCTTTGCTTGCTTTTGGGAGGAGCCATTCAGCATGCATTGTGTCTTATTTGGGTTCCAAACTTTGTTTGTTCTGATCCATCCACTTGAATGTCCTCTCACAGACTAGGATCTATATTGTTTACAGTAGTTCCTACTTTATACTGTGAGGTATCCCAAGCGCACATAGTGACAGAACAATGATGGCCATGTTAACAATTGCCTTCATATACAGTGTTAAAAAACAAGGAACACCAATTGTCACAGGTTACACATCTGACAATTGACCTTTTAAATCGACACATTGGTGTATATCTTTAATATATGAAATAAAAAAATATAAGACACATATCTGACATTCCATAACATTTAAGTTTGTGAAGAAGTGCATGGTGTTATGAGGTCAGCTGCCCGACCACGTGGGTTTTTCTCCGGGCACTCCGGTCTCCTCTCACATTAAGACCCACTGCGCGCTAACATCCGGGCCAACAAGAGTGATTAATTTAACTTGTTTCATAATTGTTGTAAAATATATAAAGTTTATATTATATTAAGCATATGGTGGTTTACCGTGTCGAATGCCTTGCTTACATCAAGGAACAGGATACCTGTACCTTAATCAGTATAGTAATTTGGACAAAATTCAAATTGACTGGCATTCAACAGACTGTTATCATAGAGATACGTATAGAGAGAATCATGCACCTGTCGCTCCAGTATCTTACATACAATAGGTAGAACAGAGATAGGCTTGTAATTGTTGACATGATAACTATAACCAGACTTGTACACTTGAGATACTTATTGATAACACGTGATTTTATTGACTTGGGTTATAAAATATAATCTTGTTCATAAATCTAAAGTCGTTCTTACTATAGGAAATGACCAGTATAATATAAAACATCAAGTAACAATTAGATAACACTTATTCTTTTCATGCATGATAAAACTGTCGATGATAAGAATATATGTAAACCATTCTTTTACACTTCATTGCGCGTGTTCGGTGTTAAGATGGGTCAATAATGACTTGACGTCACAAGATCGGAAAAAATACTGATGCCACAGTGGCAGCAAGTACAATTTAAATATATCAAAAAGTATCTACTGTTTTAGTCACAAAATTGATATTTTCAAAGTGGAAGCTAGTCGTAACTTATTTTCATTATTTTTGAGATTCTTCTGGTAATTGAAATGAGAGAAAGATGCTACTTCATTCCCGGATTAAAGGATAGGAAAATCAGATGGAATTTTCATATCCTACACCTCCGATATGAAAACGTCTAGTGGTCAATTGAAGTATTTTGTGTATAAATGATATAAACATTTTCAGAACCATGTGGAGGATCTTGTCCACCAAATACCCACTGTGACGAAAAGACACAAAAATGTGTTTGTAATAAGGGCTACATATCAGATCATTATGGAGGCTGTCAATGTGAGTATCCGTGATATCTAGAGAAAACAATCGTAGACGCTAGCCCTTTAATTTGTTTGTTGTAAAAACAAACTGCATATAAACATTATTAATACCATTTTGTTGCGAAGTGAACATTCACCAAATTCAAACATATATAATGCTTTTAAAACTATGCAAAAATCCTGACGATCAAAAGAATAGTGACGTAGTAAAAAATGTTGTTGCGTCGCCATAACTAGTGTAAACAAACATGTATGATTGTAGTTCCTATTTTCTCATTTGTTACAAATGAATTTTGTATGTAGATCGTGAATTAAATTACGTTGCAGTTTACTATAAATCTATGTAATCCATATTACGTTAAACATTGAAAATAGGGTTGTGTATTTTAGCTCTTTGTTTGGTTAACCGAATGGTTAATACTACATTATTCAGTAATAAAGTGTAATTACTAAAATGCGAACATAAGATAAGCAATATTTCCGCTTAAAATGCAAAACACGTTGCTGGTTTAAACACTTGTACAGAACTAGGTCGAATATCAAGAGTTTTCTTGTTGTTTGTTATGTGTGATCACTGGGAGAGGTCTATAGAATGGAGCAACTATTTCGTAAGTGCGTGTGGTGATTGGGGTGCTGTTTGTGTTGAACACAACGTCACCATAGATGGAAACATATCATAGGCTAAAGTAATGAGTATTGATCAACTGTCTCCTAAGAAGATGATATAAAAGAAATCAGCTGCTTATAACCATATTTTCGGATGTATCATGTACACAAAACTATTTGAGAACGTGGCATTTAACCTTAATTGTCGTATTACAGTACCATGTGGAGGTAGATGTTGCGCCAATGCTCACTGCGATTACCATGACAACACTTGCAAATGTAACACCGGTTATATAGGAATAGGAACAGTGGCGTGCTATCGTAAGTATAGCTTAAACTCCAAAATGTATTCAAAAGTTGTTTAATATGTACATTATATGATATTTCGCCGTGTATACGGGCATGCGGGCATATGTTTTTGTATGACCTTTTGTAGATTAAAATTAAAATCAAATTCTTTCCGATTTAAAAAATTTAATTTTAAAATACTGAAGTTAAAAACCGATAAGAATGGATGTATAATTTCGAAAACAAGTAGCACATGATATATCAACGTGAGTATTTTTTGTAAGGCTTCCTATTATCATAATGCAAACCAGATGTTCAATTTAAAACGTACTATATAACGAATATTATATATATGCAAATTTGTTCACCAGTGCCCTGTAAAGGCGCCTGCGATGCCAACGCTTACTGTGCATCAAACAGATGTGTATGTAAGACAGGGTACTACGGAAACCCGTACACAGGATGCTATTGTGAGTAAAACAAACTATCTGAAGTTAATTTCAATTGTGACGTTCAGTATTGAATAATTATACGTACTTTTTATAGTCTGCTTTATTTGTTAGTTATAAGATTAAGTCCCTTCGGTTATTGTTCTGAAATATCTTTGTCTTTTATATTTGTATTCTATAGATATATGTTCGCTTGAAGATCATTTATCGCTTATTTAATCAACGCGAAAAACGCGAGCATTTCCCCACTACGAAAATATCCGCTTCTACAGTATGTTGTTATCTGTTTCACAGTACCGTGCCGCAACCTCTGTAAGACCAATGCTGTATGTGATCTCTCGACACACACATGTCGATGTATTCAAGGCTATTGGGGTGATCCACTGAAAGAATGCAAAAGTATGTTAGTTACCGTAGAGTTCAATTTTGTAGGACGAATGTTTCAAATGCTTAATTTCAGGCTTCTTAGCCAAACTTAAATAATTCGATGGTTGATAAATCTTGTACCAATATATTGATCGAATCCAATTACGCCTCGTAACAGTTTTAATGGTTGATTAATTGATTGATATGGAATTCGTTGCCATAAGATTGATACAATATCAACAGCTAGCATGTATCCTTAATTTGATTCTGATCGGCTCTTACAGAACCAGGATCGTTTGTATTTACCCAAACCACATACACCGTCCAGGAAAACGTCGGATTCGTCTCTATTACTGTGAGTAGGGTGGGATCAAGCTTTGGAGCGGTGAAGGTAACCTGGGCTACCAAGGACGGCAGCGCTGTCCATGGAAATGACTTTATTAACACAGGAGGCGTCATCTGGTTTGCCAGTGGTGAAGTTTCCAGGACCATTTCGATCGTCATAATAAACGACAATGTAATTCTAATTCTTTAATTAATTACTCAAAGGGCATTCATTTCAACACCTAAATTACTGGTTTTCCCAAAGAGTGTTTAAAGATAATTATTAACATTGTTTTCTATTTCAATAATACTGTTCAAAAACATTTCTTTTGTTTTTCATACTTCACGACTCTTCGACAAAAGACGATCATGTTTGGCCTAAGCCGTCAGAAAGAGACTCATATGAATAGCCACTAATTAACTAAATGGTTGAATTTCCTACTTTTTATATCAGTATTGCATGCGAAGTGCTAAAGTGTCATTCCATTGAAGAAGCCTATTTCATGTATGCGTTTAATTATAGTCGTAATACCTTACTGAGAGCCAACTTTTTTGATAAGTGTATACGTTGAAACTCTCGTCACATCAACTTGATTATGCTATAAACAATATCAATTTCCAGATATTCGAAAGGGAGGAATCTTTCACTGTTTCCCTGACATCGATAAGCATTGGTACACTTACAACATCTACGGTGGCGACCATCATTATCAAGGATGATGACCGTACGTAATGTATATCACTACAACATTCTTTAAAAATAAAATAAAATAAACACAGTATGCTTAAGTTTTAATGAATAAAGTATCATATTTTATTAAATATAATTACTCTGTATATAAACATCCTAACATAAAGATTCGACAAATATTAAGTTAAATATTCTGTTCATCCTCTGCATTAAAGTCATTTTGGTCTCTGTGGAGTATAACGTATATATAGATAGGTAGATAATGAAGTGTTATTATTTTCGTATGACTTTTGTAATTATAGCTGCGTGTGGTGGACCGTGCCCTGCTCATTCCCACTGCGATTTAGGGAGCCAGAAATGCGTTTGTGACCATGGCTATCATTTAGATGCCAATTATGGAGGATGTATTTGTATGTATTAATGTTGAAGATACCAAACCTCTACCAACATTCAAAACGAAGCCTTCGAAATGTTACTTACTATTTTTTTCATTTATCGTACGGATATTAAGTAACGATATTTTTTAGTTATTTACGTCCTTAAGGTATTTCGAAATGGTCGATTATTTAAAGTTCAAGATGAAATGAAATATGTTTTATACCGTGCAGTACCATGTGGAGGGCGATGCTGCGCTAATGCTTACTGCGACGCTCACTACAATCTATGCAAATGTAACGCTGGTTTTATTGGAATCGGAACCATTGGTTGTTACAGTAAGTTGTTCGCTTTACACAAAGTATTATATTAACTTAACTAGAGAAAGCAGCTCGATCCCTTCTCTCCCGAAAGGGGGCTTTAAACAATCTCAAATAATTTGTATGTTGAAATACTCTTTTGTTGTCGTGTGAATGTGTTATATAATATGGTTTGCTATGCGTAATCAAATTTTGTAACATTGTAGGATGGGATGTAAAGATATGCACCCTTTAGATGATTAAATGCTTGTACACATTTTAGCATGTCTTATGGCAGTTGTCATTGTTTGTATTTTGTATACAAATAGAAACTATTATCAGCTTCCTTCAATTATCCAAAGTAACAAAATATTTTCAAGCTGACAAACAGAAACTAGAGACATGTTTAGATATTATGAAGTATGAACATGTTATTTAATCCAGCTAAAAATACATTAGACATATTTGATTACTACAGAACCATGCAAAGGTGCCTGTAAATCGAACGCTTACTGCGGAAAGGACAACAGTTGTTGTTGCAAGCCCGGTTTCTATGGAGACCCGTATGTCGGTTGTACAGGTAAGTAAATATATTGTACATTCAAAAGTAAAACATATATTAAGATAGTATAATTTTTACGATAGTAAAATCATGATGATATTGTGGAAGAAGTAGGAAAAATATCAAGAAATATTTAAAATATCAGGTCGAAAAACATCTAACTCTCCCTCATATTGCAAAGTTATGGCGTAAAGGTAAGTAATTAAAAATAAAAAATGCTAAGCTCAATTCTTTTTCATCTTAAACAGCTGACATTAAACGTGAAATGAGACAACCAATTTTTATTTCCACATTTTCGGTTACATTTAAAATTGGGACAGTTTTATTCAGAGGAAATATACCGGCAGCCATTTCGACAAGTACAAGTGGCAAGATTTCCATGTATTAACACCGATTTTTAAAAGTAAGATGTCTCCAAGATGAAGTTAGTGTTAGTTTGGGATAATGCATTCATTTTAGCAGCATCAATTTGAATATCATATCAGTTAGGAGAGATGGCAGCTACATGTACCTAATGTAAATATCCCTATATATAGTTATATTTATAATGGCACCAGTACGCTAGGACGATCTCCTTTAAGCGAACATCGTCATAACGGTTATTTCATTTACCATAATTTGATGTTCGTGTATTTTACATTAACTTGATTAACTTCGTTTATTCAATGCACAAAACATCCACACAAATAATTTAGCTTTTTAAGAATATTGGTATTACAATTAGCCAAATGACTATCAAGTATGATTGCAATATTGTACCGTTGATATAAAACCAGTATAAACACAAACATCTTCACGTATTTTGCATGAATAGCATACACTATATGAGTATATGTACATTCGATAAGATAACTATCGTTTAATTGAAAAAGGTCCTTTAATTATCATTTGTTGTCTTATAACGCAAGTTTGAATACATTTTCTACCTTCCCTTCATCTATTTTTTATAGAGGCATGTAATGGTCTGTGTAAAGAAAACGCTCGCTGTGATATCCCCACCCAGACCTGTCAGTGCTTACCTGGCTTCTACGGTGACCCTCTGATGGGATGCGGAAGTAAGTATATTTATTATATCGAACATGTCATAAGTAAAAACTTGTTGTTCATGGAGAGAATCGGCCATACTGCCTCAAACATCCGTTTGCGTTATGCCAACAACATTGCTCGATAAGGAAATATTTGATAATGTATGTTCTTTTCATGTATATTGCTTTAATAAGTATAAAATGATTTTAATATAAGATATATAGGGAACTAGTAAGGAACTAAGCCTGTGGCCAATGGAAGACGTTTACAAACGCACTAATAAATATAAATTGAATCACGGCAACCAATGCTGTCCCCGTTGTCTTTTACAGAACCTGGTCAATTTGTATTTGCAAAGTCCAGCTATTCAGTAACAGAAGGCTCTGGGTCAGTGACGGTGACAGTGAACAGGATTGGATCTAGTTCTGGTGGCGTTGCTGTTACGTGGGCTACAACAGATATATCTGCCACTCATAACATTGACTATTTCAACGCCCAGGGTGTCCTTTTTTTCGCCGATGGCGTCATAACTAGGACAATCACCTTTACAATTAATGCTGACACGGTAACCAAACAGATTAGTCTTAAGAGTTTTAACCTGTCGCTGCCGCATAACTTGAGTTTATGTGTTTGATTTATGTTTTTGCAACATATTTTATTTATTGTCTCCACTGTTCATTCTGTTAACATTTTAGATGATAAGTCAACGATCTTTTTTATATGGACTTTTACATTGTTTATCATAATAACTATTAATTCGTGATTTTTATTTATAGTTATATGAAGTAGACGAAAGATTCCAGGTTACTTTACTTAGTGTCGTTCCAGCTGGCGGACTCGGTTCATTAACTATTACTACTGTTACCATTATTAACGATGACGGTAAGTGTTTATGCGCATTGAAAATGCCTACGTTAAACTTCTTATATATTGTTATCCCCACTCCAGTCCTCAGTATAGGGAACAAATCGTCGAAACTGGTGATATTACCGTGGGCTGGTTTCTGGTACCCATCTCCTACTCTTATAACAGGGAACAACCGACAGGGTTTAATCATATAGTTTGATTAGTCACTCCACTCATGGACAACCTACATCATGTTACTGAAGTTTATTTTTCAAAAATCAGAGTGTTCATTATTTAGCGATCCAATGAAATCTTAAAACCATCTATACTTTTGCTACAAAAGTTACAACGATATTATGTTGTAATACTAGCTATTAAAAAGAGAACCAATTAACTGTAGAAAATGACAAGACGAGGCTTCCTTAAATAATATAGAAAGAAATAACAAATGCTCATCACTTACTCTTAAACTTATATATCAACATACACAAAATATATTATGATAGATATATAGTATACAAGACATATATTTAGCCTCACAATATGTGAACATCCTATAATGAAAGAACTTTATTTGTTTGATATTTTCAGCGGCATGTGGAGGACCATGTCCCGTGAATTCTTACTGCGACAAACTCTCCCAAAAATGCATTTGCAATAAAGGATACATTCTTTACCATGGATCATGTGTCAGTAAGTATTTCTTTCTTATCAAATAAAAATTCGAATCCGTTATTCGATTCAGTTATACTTGTTATTCACTGTTTATCATCTGTTAATCATCTGTTTTACCAAGAATTATATATATTTTGTTACAATTCACAGTCCCATGTGGTGGAAAATGCTGCGCCAATTCTTACTGTAGCCATAAAGACAACCAATGCCATTGCAATTCCGGTTACATCGGAAATCCAACACAAAAATGTTATAGTGAGTTTAATTTCGATAAGCATGTTACTAAAGGGCTAGTTATTCGAAATCCAACTAGTTGAAAGAATCGTGATAGCTTATTTTCATTTTTATAGGGAAAATTATTTTCATTTTTATAGGGAAAATTGTTATTATTATTTTTAAATGTTTAACGGCCCATCAACACAGGATAGGTCATTAGGGCCAACAAATGGTCAAAAATGAAAAGACACATTTTTAAATGCTCACACGATCGTTTAAAAGTTCTTTTTATTTCAAAAGTTTGAAGATCTCCTCTGTGGTGCATTTACTAATCATTTCGTCTAATTTCTATATAAACATGCATATGTATAAACAAAATATCGAGTTTTGAGGTTTTTGGTTTACAGTACCATGCAATAATGCCTGCGACGATTACGCCTATTGTGGAAAAGATAACAAATGCCATTGTAAGACGGGATATTACGGAAATCCTTACTCGAAATGCCATTGTGAGTAGCATTTACTACATGCATTGACACAGACACTTACCATACGAACTTTACCAAACAAGGGTGTCCGTATTATTATGAATTTATTATTCTGTAATAATATATTTAAAACTGTTTTACTGTCATGTTAATAGCCCTAATCAATCATTTCTAAAACATGTTGTAAAAAGTATTAAAATAACAAAAACAAAATTGCAACAATATTCTGAATGTAAAGCAAACAAAGCGGTCAATCCAAGATTCAAATCTTGGTTCCATGATGTTTATGTAATTATATCGCTTAGTCGTGCATGTCCGAAATGCAAATTAGGGGACAATAATTAATAATTAATGAACGAGTAAATAGAGTGATTTTTTTTTTTAACTTTTTGCCTACAAAGGGACAGGGATCCTTAAGTCGTTGTTTTTTTTAACCTTATTATCTTTCTATGTTCTTTGTAATTGTGTGTTAAACAACTTGACTCTGTGACATTTGTGTACTATGTTACATCATACCTGAATACAAACAAATCAAAACACGTGTTGCCTCATCGTTATCTTACCCTTTAATGCTTATTTGTCCAGTACCTTGCAATGATCTGTGTAAGAAGTACTCCAAATGCGACCTTGTTACCCAGCAGTGTGTGTGCCTTCCAGGATACTTCGGTAACCCCAAAGAAGAATGTCATGGTTAGTTGTTTAACGCCACTGATTGTTTGGTTAAATCAGCATATTATATTTAAGGCGTTTTAATTAGATTTGATTAAACTACAGGAACTTGTACTAAATCTGCTTGAGATTCCATCATGATAATAAAAAGTCGTATTCAAACTAGCACATACTACCTCGAAAACAAAATGAACACATTCGGGCCGCAAATACTAAAATTGTCTCATTTTGGTTGATGTTTTACAGGAGCAAGTGTGTTTGTACTTGTCCAGTCCAGCTACGCCGTGTCGGAAAGTGTTACTCAAGTGGTAATCCAAGTTAAACGGACCGGCTCTAGTTCTGGTAGTGTAAAGGTAACGTGGACTGCGACGGATCTGACTGCTATCCACGGCCAAGACTACGCCAACTCAGGGGGTATATTATACTTCAACGACGGCGATGTATACAAGACTATTACCATTCATATACTCAACGACGAGGTAAATATAAATGATCAATCAATCAACGTTTTATTGAAATGTTACACAATGCATACTATGCTAGAATCTAACACCCCTGTGTTAAGTAGTAAGATAAATCTCAACCCGAGGGTAACATTTCGATAACCCCGATGGCTTCTCAGATTGTTCTGCCTGTATCGCTCAGGAATGATTTATTATGGTTTTTAATTAATTGTTTAGTATAAAGTCCAATACTTTCCTATTTTTAACATATGATGAAATGGTGAAACCATGGCACCGTGTCGTCACTAATGAGCTCAACAACTGTGATAAAATTAATGACGGTCCCCTCTTCACACTGCATAAAGTGATGTGAAGCGATGGTGACATTGAAAGAATAATAGCACGTGTACGCTCTCTTTCTCTAGGTATAAGTTGTGTATTAATGTGTAATCTACATGTACTTGCTTTGAGAAAAACAATTATCACAAATAGGTGTTGAGAAACAGATAGGAAGATAAGTTTTGACGAAAATTAAGTAATCTACAGTAGAATATGTACTTTGCAAAGTCCTACTAATTTGTCAATTCTTATCTAGTAGTAGTGACGGGGACGTGTTATGGTTCTGGTCTCCTACATGAAAATTATAAAAAAAAAAAAAAAAAAAGTTTTTTAGATAAAACGTTTAAAACCTATTTAGTTACTTGTCTAATCTGCAGATATTTGAGGCTGACGAACAGTTCGTTGTGGCACTTACTCACGTTACTGCCGGAGGCGTGCTTGGAGTACTAAGAAAAGCGACGGTCACTATTGAGAATGACGACAGTAAGTTGAATACTTCAATTTGAAGAAGTACTTGGTGAACATACTATTGAGAATGACGACAGTAAGATGAATACTTCAATTTGGGGAATCATGTTTGATTTTAAATAGACATTTTAATTGAAATAGTTATGCTAATAATTTCCATGGTTTACAGAACGTTGTGGGGGCAAATGTGTGTTCAATGCTCACTGTGACGAAGCAAGCAACACATGTATTTGTAACAAGGGACTTGTGGGAGATGGAACTGTGAAATGTGACCGTAAGTATTAATTATAATAACAGACATATTTGAATGAGGTAAGCAAACATTATTATTTGTTTCAGAATATAACACTATTTTACTTTATGAATGTCAATGTATGCCATTGATGAAAGGAGCTATAGTCTACCTTGTTTGATTCAAAACTGATACACTATGGTTTAGAAACTGACAACACTGTAGCAGTAGTAACATTATGTGAATTTACATTTCATACCTAGATGTTAAATATTAATGCAGTAAACATGTTTAGTACGAACAAACGTATAACGATTTCCTGGGTATTGCTAACTGATTCTGATTTCCCAGCTCATCTCCCTGTTACTTCTACGTGATTATGTGATCGTATTGAAAATTTCACATAGCGAATCATTGTCTTTTACGAAACATATCAGCGGTCCCCTCGGGTTAAATTCAGTGTTATTTTAAAATTGTAGTACGAACTCAATTTTTTCTGAAATCAGATGTCGCACACCAGTGAACTGGTTAATCAGTTTCCATTATCTACGCTTCCAATTTCCAGTTCCATGTGGCGGACATTGCGGGGTCTACCCACACTCTCACTGTAACTACAAGACTAACAAATGTGAGTGTGACGACAAGTACCACGGTGATCCCTATCACGGAGGATGTATATGCACAAATGGGGGACATACCGGTGGCAGTTATGGAAGTACTGGCGGAAGTCATACCGGTGGCGGTTATGGAAGTACCGGCGGAAGTCATACCGGTGGTAATTATGGAAGTAGCAGTGGAAGTTATACAGGTGGCAGTTATGGAAGTAGCAGTGGAAGTCATACAGGTGGCAGTTACGGTGGAGGTAATACTGGTGGCAGTTATGGAAGTACCGGCGGAAGTCATACAGGTGGCAGTTACGGAAATACAGGAACAGGAGGTGGTTATGGAAGCACCGGAGGTAGTTACGGCGGAAGCCATACCGGTGGCAGTTACGGAAATACAGGAGGTGGACACAGCGGAGGCCATACCGGTGGCAGTTATTGAAGTACTGGTGGTAATTACAAACCGAGCACTCAATATTAAGATATTTGAAAACAATCTATCTTGTCAAAGTATTAAAACTAATAAAATTTCTTTTTGCAGTTAACTATTGTTGTTTGGTTTTCAATAAAAATAAGGAAAATGTATCCATCTACATCGTATGAGAGGGAACAGTTATCAGTTGAGGTATTGGACAAAGTGTCCTTCGTCACTAAAAGATGACATAAATCCAAAGTAGACTGACCGAGTTAAGAAACCTTAAAATCACAAAGAACTCTTCAGGACGGTTTTATATATATAAGAAAACAAATATGCCACCGCGTTCGATAATTCACAAACTGATGAATAACTGATTCATTCATTTAAAGTCGAAATCAACATTGATGAAATTTTTAATATTCCGTTTACTATACATAACATTTTGGACTATGTTCACGAATGTACTCAATACACGAAAAATAACATCTCAAGTACATCGAACATTCATGATTCGATTCATAAAATATCATGAACCTGGTAGCCTTTCAAATTATCAGGCAACAGTCAGTAAATCAACACACTATGTTTCAGTTATTTAGAAGAACTCATTTGTAGGTATTTGACCCCTATGATAACTTCCACTTTGATTTCTTCCACTCGATCTCAGTAAGCTACTGGACAAATATCATGATCCGATACATTTACGTTCTTCAAAAGAAACCTAAAATAAATGTGACTGTTGCTTAAGTATATTTCAAGCAAGTTACTGGCAAGCATTATGACACTAATCATCGATACTCTAGGGGTTACGCTCACTTCTGCTCTCTGCATCCCCGAAAGAGATCAAGACAAAATCAAAGTGTGCGCCACATTGTTGATGATACAAGAAGACTTATTTGGTGATTTGATGTGCGTCGAAACAATCTCGATATGGCACAACGCTAAACAAAACTAACTTTGAAGTAAGATTTCACTCCTCTGTAATCTTCAATTGACAGGTTATCAGCGGAACGAATGATTGTCCCGTTCTAACCTTAAACCAATCAAATAGCTAGCCATATGCCTTTAATTTTGCCCTGACAAATTTCATGGTTACAGAGACCGTAAGTGATCATGATACCTTTCGGTCCTTCGGAACTCATTTGACCTTATCACACGTAACCGCCGTCAGGGACAAAATCATCACTTGGAGATAACAGAACATCGCAACAGTAAACCAAGTTAGCACACGAACACAACAGAGAACACCACGAAACAACTAACAATATATTGAGAGATACATGCAACAAGCAAAAGAGTTTCTGCAACTCATCAGGACGTCAATCATAAAATCCAAGAATAAATGCTTGTCCCCAGTGATCTCATACAAAAGTTTTAAGTCTTACATCACGTAAGACACGGCAAGGTTCAAATCATGATAGCGACTTTACGATTCTGCTGAAATTTACACAACATCATGACATCAAATGCACCATTATCTTGCTTCTGGAAAGTATACCGAATAATGGAAGTCCAATGCACAGGTTTCTTTCAAATTTTGATGTTATAGCACGGGTATTGTTAATTGTTGAAAGATAAAAGGGCCCCTGCTTTGTTCATGGATTTCTCTTCTCTCCTTACCCATGTGAATTCTTTGATTTTTTCCGAATTGGTGTCCTCCCTTACAAGCACTTGTTGTTGCACTTGTGTGTATTAGCATGTTCTGTTATTGCCGATTTATTGTGTTGTTTCTCCCGATTCCTTTAGTTTCTAGGGACATTTACTATTTCATGACCCGGGGGGTCAGCCCCACCATTTGTACAGTTTTGAATCCCTGCCTCCCATGAATCCTTCCGACCAAATATGATCGATATCCATGGCATAGTTCTACAGAAGAAATCGTTTATAGCAATCTAGCCAAATTGCCCCTTTTGTCCACGCCCTCAGCCCCCAGGGGGGTCAACCCCACCATTTGTACAATTTTGAATCCCCACTACCTAGGGACCCCATTTGTACAATTTTGAATCCCCACTACCTAGGGATGCTTCCTGGTTGATATCCATCCCTTAGTTCCAGAGAAGTCGCTTAAAGCAATATAGCCAAATAACCCGTTTTGGCCCCGCCCCTCGGCCCCCTAGGGGGTCAGCCCCACCATTTGTACAATTTTGAATTCCTGCATCCCATGAATGCTTTTATTTAAATATGATTGATATCCAGTGCATAGTTCTACAGAAGAAGTCGTTTGTAGAAATATAGCCAAATTACCCCTTTTTAGCCCCGCCCATCAGCCCCCCGGGGGTCAGCCCAACCATTTGTATAATTTTGAATCCCCACCACCTAGGGATGCTTCCAGTCTAATATAGTCGAAATGCATCTTTTAGTTCCAGAGAAGAAGTCGCTTAAAGCAATATAGCCAAATAACCCTTTTTGGGGTCCCGCCTCTCAGCCCCCAGGGGGTCAGACCCACCATTTGTACAATTTTAAATCGCCACCACCTAGGGATGCTTCCAGTCAAATTTAGTTAAATTCCAATCAGTGGTTAAGAAGAAGTCGTTTAAAGAAATTGTTGACGGACGGACGACGGACGCCACGGTATGGCATAAGCTCACCTTGGTCCTTCGGACCAGGTGAGCTAACAATTTACCAGTATACAGAAAAGACTGGAACTCGCACATCAAATGAAGTTTCTACTTACAAAAACAAACTGTTTGGCTCAGAGGGTGTAAACAACCAGCTGTCTCATAGAGAAGTCAAGTCAGAATTCGTGAAGATTATGAAATATGGGTGTATCAGCACTTTCAATACCTCATCCGTTGTCAGATTTGTTCCAGGCCCAAAAGCCAGACTAAATATATTGTCTGGATTCAGTACAGCGCGACACCAAATGATAATAATCCAATGAAAAAAACACTACTTCCAATGTCCAGTTGGTCAAAAGAACTATCGGAATGTGTGCTCATACATCAAGTATATTTTATTATCTTAGCTGGCATAGCAATCTTCAAAATTCAAAACAGTCGCACCCAAAGGCTAAAAAGTTCCGACAAAGCTTGAAATAAGTTGTTTTCTTGTGGATCTAGAATATAACCAACAGTTTGAAAACAAATCCAAAGCCTCGCATCATGTTATTCTTTCTCCTTTTTTCCAAGTCTGCCATTTCAATAGCATAGCATACTCTTGCACCTTGCAAAACATTATCTGTAAATGCCATCATCTGTTAATACCGCGTCTAAATTTAATAAATATATAAAAACAAAATAACAAACAAACATACAATCTCTAAATTCCATTGATATTGCAAGAAAATTGTCTCGTAATCTAAAAAAAAAAACTAGGCAGTTGAATGAATGTTTAGGTGGCCATTTTGAAAAAGAATAAACCAATGAATCTTTTCCAAATACGTTCTCTGTTGATAAACAAGAGGCCCAAGGGCCGTAGCGGTCACCCGAGTCATATCAAAGGTACTGGTAGCTTTATTTTATTTTTTAGATGTGATGTGGAAATCAGCATGTAAACTAAGTGAAATACAATACTTGTCATGTCATCAAAGGATAAGAATTTTAAAATATTGGTAAATGTTCCCTTGGGTGCCCCGCCCTAGCCCCTGGGAAGGGACAGGAATTCCAATTTTACATTGTATTACCCTCATCCACCAAAAACTATTCTCACCAAGTAAGAATAATTTTCTGCTGAAAATGGATAAAATATACCAAAAAGTGTTATTTCCCTTCCCGACTGTTGATTTGATAAATATCTGATAACTCACCAAAGCAAGATATTTTTCCATGTATTCTGTACCAAATAATCCCTAGTTTTGGTCCTTCAGTGCATTATTTGAGAATTTCAGTTTTATGCTTCTACGAATAACAAACCAAGTGCTCATTTGAATGTTAGTGGGAGTTTTGGTTGTGACAAAGTTTATGTCTACACCTCACCAAAAGAAAATTGATTGAAGCCGAGTGTTTTGCCGAATTTGAAGTTTCAAGGCGTGAAAAAGTCTCACAGAGAATGCTCTTGCGTGTCTTGCGTGAGCCCGCATCACCTATATCTGCAAAATCCTGTTTGCATCACCTATACTTCTTATAACACCTAAACCCTCCTACATCACCTATACTTCCTATACCACCCGTACCCTCCTAAAAAACCTACTACCTTCTTCACCATATTTACATTCTTACATCTTCCAAAACAACTATTTATTATTCTACTACCATCGACATTCTACACATGTAAACCCTCCTTTACCACGTTTAATCAACTTCACCAACTTCACTGCCCTAAATCATCATACACCACCTATACACATACACATTCATATGCATACATCACTTTTGCCCTCCTACAGTACCCTTTTCCTTCAGTCATATATATTTTTTATACCACTTCTATGCCCTATACATCCTTTACCAAATATGCATTTTTACATCACCAATAACACCCTTCACTAGTTAGGTACCACCAATGTAAACCAACACCACTTTTACCCTCACATATTCCTATACCATTCCCCACGACAGTTACCATCTTAAATGTGCTACACGTATACTTACTCTACCTATATATCGTCATATACCATATTTACCTTTTACATCACCTTTATCCATCTAAAATGCATTTACCATCATACATACACCACTTATTCCTTAAAGACCGATTGTAATTTAACATTTTATGTGTGAAAACTATAGGCTCCAATAGTAATTGAAAAGTCCCATAAGCTGTCTGATCGGACCCATTATCCTACTCGTCCGAGATCTAATTTTGTTTAACGTCCTATTAACAGCTTAGATCACTAAGGACTTAAGCAGAGAATAACAACTACCATTTTCAAGCCCCGGGGACAGAACCTGGGCGAACGTTTAACATTAAGGCCAAATGTGAGGTGTTGCCAAGCAAGGCGCAAGGAAAAAGAAGGTATTTAGAAGAGGAAAGAAAGATTAAGATCCCATATATTGCAATGGGTGCAGCAGATTTATTTTTGTCAAGGCACACTTCGTAAGCACGAAATATCAGACACACTCACCTCAGGACTTGCAAAGGTCTTCTAAATGGAAAGTATTTGTCAAATATCTTCAGAAATTGTGTAGAGCAACAAAATAAAGTCATGCTAATGACAACACTCCCAATATATATGCCAAATA